CTCACCGCGGTGGCTTTGGCACACTCGCCAGAAAAGTGTCACTTATCCCATGTACACAAGACTTTTATGTGTGGAAACAACCCCGCTCGAGATTCAGAAGTGCGTCTCACTCTGTGAAAAGCTACACTGTCACATGCCACAACACTGCTGCTCAACTTGACACCTGAAAGGTGATGCTTCAGTCCAATTATCAGACGACCTCTCATGACACAATCAGCATAAAAAACAAACAGTTATTACGACCTTTTCTCCCAAAGTGCAGCATATGTGAGTGATGTTTGTCAGCCGTGTGTGAATGCTCCTGTAATTATAGCCAGCAGCACTCTGAGATCTGTATGTAAATGACTCATACCTGCAAAAAAAAACAACTTTTGGGTTAACTTTCACAGGGAATTGGGAAGTGATCTAATATTTATATCCCCTCTAATTGCATGCCATAATTACAACCTTGGCCTTAAGAAAGGCTTTGGAATAAATTGAATTAATTTGGCAGCCATAAGTTGTGCCTGCATGCTGATTCGGTCTGCTCCACCTCTGGAGACAAATCTGATTAAATTCACCAATAATATATTTAAACCAGATAAAAACGCTTCAAAAAGACAAAGAAAACGAGTCCTGAAGCCAAGTAGAGTAAAAACTATGTTATTCCAAATCTGGACACATGTGTGGAGAAATTTCAACCTAGATAAATCTGATAAAAGTGAGCTCACAAAAGGTCTGAAAAAACTTATTTTTTCTCCCCCATCTTATCTCCTCAGGTTCAGTTTTTCTCCCTCTTCCTCTTTCTCTCTTGACTGCTCGCTCACAAACACTCACAGGAACAAAGCTCCTGATCCCGTCCCCCCCTCTGCGGTCTTCCAACATGCAGCCGGGGTCACGGATGATTAAAGCAGTGGCAGGTGGACTCCACTTTGAAACCATCAATAGACCCCCGGGAGCTGAATCAAACAGCAAACCCTCCATCTCTGTCAGCCCGAGCGCTCGGTGGCACTGAGGGAGAGGATAGACAGAGGGTGAGAGGGCAGACTCCACCTCTGGATCTTCAGTATCTACGCCGAGGCGAGATGGTGAAAAAAGGGTGGAGAAGCTATGGAAGAATTCCTGCTTCTCTGATGTGATTTGAAGCAGGCTTTGTGGATTCATTCGGCTGACCCGACCGCCTCTGACCGGAGGGGTCTGCAGAGGGGGTTGGGAGAGCCAAGGATAGCTTCTGCAGCATTTTTTTTATCCCTGCATTCTGCCGTCGACTGTAGTTTGCAAGCAATGATATTCAATTAACTGTGGTGTAACAACTGCAGCTGTAGCCTACCACTGTCAGTTGAATCAGAGTAGAGAAAGCAAAGATGGATGCCAACAGGGTCAATTTTTACAGACATACAAGGTTACAGATTGAATTTCTCATGCGAGTTGATTTAAACTTATTTTAGGCTTTCATATTTAGATCTGCTTGTGCGGTCAGTCCAACTGTACGCCGTGTTGTATCATCTTTCCCAGTATAGTCACACTTCTCCAGATTGTCTGTGAGCCATTTATGCCAATTAACTGGCAGAAACAGCAGCTGTAGTTGTGGAGAAACAAAATATTCACAGGGTTTCTCTCAGTGCCTTCCCATAAAAAATTCCAGGCACAGCTTAGCCAAGTAGCAGCACAAATGCGATTCATGCGTACGGGCACATACTACTGATCAAATGTTGTTGGCGCACTGCTCCTTTAAAAACTTTCATTTTTGCACCAATAAGTATGGGATGAGACTCTTAATCCGTAATTTGGGACTCATGAAATATCATGAGACCAAAGCAGATGACAACTAAAAATATAAAGCAGAGGAACCACTATGTCAATAACAGCTGCAAATTCTTCTAGTGTGTGGATGTTATCCAATAGTAGCCTTCCCATGACTGTTGTTACCATAGACTGTATATACGATGGACAATTTGGCTCCGCATTCTGTCAATATACGAATTTGAAGTCGAATTGCTCTCGGTATTTCGAGGATTTTCTCCACTTCCTGGAACCACCACTTGCACAAAAGCGCTGTACGCATACCGTGGGAAAGTAACTGTGATGACACTTGGCTTAAACAGCGTGTCCCCCAGGTGAGCTACGCAGTCTTCGTATGCCCATAGGCTGAATCAAGTGTCAATCATAGAAAACATGAACGCCCAAATAATTTTCAAAATGGAGCTGCACAGAAAAAAGAGGACTTGAGCACAAACCAGTCTTACAGTAACTACATATCAACATCGCAACCAAGTGGGAGAAAACCAAGTTTGTCCACAGCTCCATAGAGATTAGTGGAGGAGGCGGGATTTATGACCAATACTGCAGCCCGTCACCAGAGGGTGCTGTTCTCACGGTGGCTTCACCAAGCAAGGAGGCAGACGGCATCCATAGTCTATGGTTATTACAACCCACTGAATATCAGGGGATATCATGGTTGGATTTTTAGACAAATTGTGGACTAGTTGGGATTTCATACTAATTTGGCACTAGCATCCGATCGGTAACATGCCCGTTTTCCCTGCTGGAGTAGGTGGGCATTGTGACGTGACATAGATAAGGTCAATTGACAAGCAAATCTGTGAAAAAACAGCAACCCTGAAGCCTGATGGTATGATAAATAGAATTTGATTAACTTAATGGTAACTCAAGATCAAATTTGAATCAAGAATTTATCCTTCCTATGAAAAACTCCCAGATACACTTTACAGACTTTAATCCTGAAATGAGTGAAAATATTCGTCAATTAAGTGATTAAAATGTACTTGTTGGCTATCTTGAAATAAGGTTTATCATAAAACCAGCTATCTCAGATATTTTATTTTACAGGTGTACGAAAGCGAAATATGATAACCCATGTAGAAAAAAGTCTCCAATATTGACATAAAACATATAGAACTTAATAAAACAATACTGCCAACCCATTAACAAATAAACATGTAGGTGGAATTGCTATCATGCAATATGACAAATAATAGCTTGTATACAATGCCCTATACATGACTGTAGCATAAAGCAACAATACTACACACATACTCGAGCTTCAGAGATGACAGTAAAGATCTGATGGTGAGTCAACACTTGGATCCAGTGTCACAGAACAAAACAGCCATCAGATGAGGAAACACAGTCCAGATATTATAAGAGGACTCATTCCCAGTCAAGCGGTACTTTGACCTAGACCCCCGCTCCAACATGAGGTTAAATATTAAATAGATTGTATTTACATTGTGTCTTTGTCTTGACTCAAAGAGCTTTAACATTTCGTGTCACATTCACCCATTCATGCCACATTCACACTGACGGCAGAGATTATTATGATAAACGCCCATCAGTATTAGTTAATCACATTCAAACACCGCCAGCGCAGTCATTGGAGGCAGTTGGGGTTAAGTGTCTTGCCCAAGGACACTTTGGCACTTTAGCAAGATCAGGGATGGAATACCAAACCTTACAACTGAGACACAGCTGACTCTACCACAGGGCTACAGATGGAAATCTGTGGTCTTTTGCCAAATGATCAAAAAGTCAAGTCAAAGTTTATTTATAAAGCACCTTTAAGAAGACAGCAGTCAATCAAAGTGTTGTACGTAGGATAAATAAAAGAAAAGAAAGCTTACAATAAAACAACATTTAAAAAAGTGGGATAAAATACAGACAGTAAAAGAATAAAAGCTACAGCGCCTATGATTTGTATGTGCTCATGAACGCAAGGGAGAAAAGGTGGGTCTCTTAGGGTGATTTTAAAGTCTCTAGGGTCTGTGAAGTAAAAATAAATTAAATTAAAAACTGATTAAGACAAACCAGGTCAAATTTTTAATCGTCCAACATTTTGGTTTATGACCACGTACTCGAGACAATCGAAATGAAAGGAATAGCCGGAAACGCATCACCATTTACTCTGTAAATACCCCTTAGCTGTCAATATGTTTTTCTTTTGTTTGGTTTTTTAATAGAAGTGAATATACAGCATTGCGAAATATGGTCTTAAAAAATACATCAACCAGTAGAGGCTCCCCCTGCTGGTAAGAAGTCAAACAGCGGGTTTGAGGAACTTTTAATTAGCGTAACTTTCCACTTGATACCTCTCAAATTGTCTCCCTGGGAGTTTCTACTTTACTCTGTTTTAAAAGCTCTTTAGGCAATCTTATAATGCAAAACAAACAAAGTATTACTCCAAACTACTTCTTTTATTGTAGTGTAATCTACCTATCTATCCATCTACTTCAGTCTAGTTTAAAATCAAGCAAGCCAGCACAGTCATGTGTGTGAGTGTCAGGGTGAATGGGAGTGTTTCCGGGAGGAATGATTTAATGGAAATGTCAAGAGCAGCTGACGCTCCAAGCAAAAGCTGAACCCTCTGATACAATGTGAGCCACTTTACCTCTGTGTGGAAAGGAAAGACTTCTTGTCATTCAGCCCGGGTCCTACCCCAAATCCGCCTTTATCAGAACAGAAATGGCATTGCCACTTTTTAATGGGATTACAGGGGTTTTGTTGCATATTAATTTAAAGGAATCAATACAAGCTGTGGCTCTATTTGGGGGGCGTTTTAAGCATTTAGCACCTCAGAGTACATTTGTCTCAACAGAAGTGAAGACAAAAGAAATGAGGGGCTGGAAGTTGAAATATAGGCACTAGATTCAGGTATTTGGGATTGTAAGAGTTGGAATGAAAGAAATAAAAAAGGTCAAAGAGACCTTTTCAGAAAGGAGTGGTTCATTCCAGTGAGTTTATTTTTATATTTCAACATAATGGGTGAGAGGAAAGAAGATAGAAGTACAGGAGAGGAAAAGAGGGGAGGTGGGACTCCTTTGGGACCCTTCATAACAAACAATAGATTAAAAAAAGCTGTTTCAAATGACTTAATATACGTGTTTTAATCTAAATAGTTAGACTTTATCTTTGAGGATCAGCTCCTTTAGGGGTGGAGGAGCTGTCCCTGGTGCTGAAAAAGCCCAGATTGATCAAAATAGAGGGAAAGATCAGCCTCTATTTTTGTCTTTGAGTGAGCACAATCATGTTACCCACCCTTAGAAACATGAATGGGCTAGAGAGTAACTGCTCCTACTTTTGAGACCTCTATTGCACCGACATGGAAAGCGCTCTACTCAATTACTGCTGTGACCTTCAAGTGGGCGCGGTTGTTCCTATCGTGCAATCTCCACCAGTTGGCATTACAGCACAATTAAAATGCGTGTTCAAAGCGACCTGTCACTGTGGTTGTTTGCCGTGCAGCTTGGCACCCTGTAGTGGAGAGGGTGACATCTATGACTCCTCGCCAAGGGAGTCCGGGAGACGCACCTCACTGTAGTTATTCTTCCAGCTCTGCCTGCAAAATCCACCGAATAATTACAGCAACTACTCCAGCCTGGGGAGTTTTTGCCTTTTCCCCCTTTTTGGCAAGCGCAGCACCAATCCCCAATATTCTTACACAGAAGGTAAGATCTTCTTCTGTTTATCTGATTTATTTTTTTACGAGAATGCCGAGTCCCGAAGCGGTGTTGTAGTTGTAATTATCTGTGTATGAGCTGCAGGCGATTTTAGAAAACAAGCCCAAAATATTCCGATCCTATCTTTTTCTTTTCTGGTTCGATTTTTTCCCTCCAACTTTGGCTGCATTTTAATTGCGTCGAACCGCGGTTTTCTCTGCCCTGAGGAGTCGCCTCCGTTAAGTTTCTGTGGATTTACGCACTGCATGCATCTCTTCGGGTTTAATGGCTCCTGAAATGTGAAAAATAAAAACCTCTACAAGCGTGCTGGTGGGCTACATTTTGCAGGGTGTTAGTATTCGATCATAAAACAGGTGAAAAGTGTGACCACTAAATGACATCAGTGCATTTCGGCTTGCAGCCTGAGCAATTATCGAGCAACTTTGAATAGAAGGGTATAATTTAGTGCCACTGCAAATATGTCTCCAATTACGCATCAATCCATAGCATGCCAAGTTTAGAATCCGCTCCTTCAGATTGGATAAAAGACAGGGAGGAATACCCACAAACTTTCATTTTACGTCCAATATCGACCACATTGTCGAGAAGACTACGAACCAGAGGAGGATGGGAAGCTTAAACTTCTCCTAAAGGGAACCGTAAGTGTGACACCCGCGTAAAAAAGCGACTGAAGTTGGGATTTTTTATCTTTAGGACCCGGCGGAGCGCTTGTTTGTAACTGGACATAGTGGCTCCATTTGAGGGAGATTGCTTATCGCTCTCTTCCTCTCCGGTCCACAACTCGCCTGGGCTGAGAAACCAGTCCCCCCCTCCCTAAGAGTTGCTCTCCGTTGGGATGTGTTTTAATACGCGGTGATGAGCTTAAACGAATTTACGAGAACTCTGTGACTGTGTGAAACCCCCCTTAACGGCTCCTTCTTGAGGTATTTGTCGCGCGCCATTCCCGTGCACGCTGCGCCAGGAGCAGTGCTGCGTAAAGCCAAGCAGCTCGCGTGGACACCATTCAGTACTCGGCGGGAAAAGGGAGAAAAGGACTGAATGTGAGCCAGTGGAGGGACGTTATTTTGGAGGACATGAAGCTGCTTTAGAGAAAGTTAAAGTTCAAAGAAAAGTTTAAAGACGAGAAAGTCGCCGGGGCATCTCCTCGTGAATGCGCGCTCTCTGCGCACGCTTCGCTTTGATTGTTCCATCTCGTGCGAAATTCAAATAAATCAGAGAGAGAACTCGGATAAAGGCGCACGACAACCTTTCTGCAACTCCTCTCTGCGGTGCTTAACTTGTTGAATGAGCCCTGTCGTCCAAGGAGCGCGTTCAAATGTGAGTATTGTTGTGTTATTAGCTCTGGGATTGTGCATTTTTCCTTTTTTTTGAAAACCGCCACTTGCATGAAGATGACAATCGTGACTAAATGAGTGATAATGGGGTAATTGTAGTGGGCTGTTTCATGGGCGGATCGTCAGCTGTAATCAGGTTTGAAATGAATAAAGGATGAGCAGCTCAGGAGAAATTGAGAGAAAATGCATCAATTTGGATCCTCAGAGTGGTACATGTTGCATTTTTAAGTTGCACTGTACTGACGTTTTCTTTGCAGTGACAGAAAGTGTGATTGAGGTTTAAAGCTGCTGTGATTGTAAACGCTTTCTTGTATTCCCAGTTGCTAAATCAACGTTATAATGAGTCCTTAACCTGTTGCGCAGCAGGTCAGGAAAGTCAGATCTAGGTGTGCCTCGCCTCTGCGCAAAAACCCGTCTCAGCACAGAACACAGATCCTGTTGATATAAATCTCCTTACTAGTGCAAGTTCTTAATTGAATGTTTCAATATGAGCAGAAATAACAGGAAGTGACTTGACGTTTTCCTCGCTGTCAGTCTTTAGTGCTCTTGATTGCATGAATGTTACATGTCCTGGAATTTTTTTAATGTGTGCAACATGCTCTGCATTTTTGCATGTTAGTGCTTCAGAAGGAGAAGTTTGAATAATGCATGGCAGCAGGTTTCATGTGTGGCAGTGGTGCAGGCTGAATCCCTGAATCTCAGACTGAGAGACCCTCACACACTGTCACCACATCAACCACATCCTCTCAAGAGGAAATAAAAAAAAAAACTCTTAGCAGGAGAGCACAGCCAGCTTTTGTTGTAAATAAAAGTGCCTCCCAATAGCACAGGTCAAAAGTGCAGCCCCTCTGGACACCGATCGTATGTTTTATGTGCTTATGGATCTATAGCTGCAGTGGAGAGATGGACACAAAAGAGGAGGAGGGGGAGCGAAAGAGAAGTGAGACAATAAGAACACAAACGTGTGCCAAAACAGACATGCTTCTGCTTGCCAGTCGTTCCCACTGTGACTCATATGGAAGGGTTGGATCTTGGCTCGGAGAACGTTGGAAGCATTAACCCGTTTATTGTTGCACTCATCAGCCAGCTACAAAGCATCAGTCTGTTTGAACTGGCTGTGGATCAGAAGTTATTGGTTGGAAGTCAGCGAAATCAATAAACACAGCAGAGGCAGTGTTGTATTTGTGTGCATCCTAAATCCAGAGCAGGTGCTGAAAGTATAAAGGCAGAGGCATCGAAATTGTTGCAGGATGATCCACAAAAGGAGCATCAGTGTAGGCTCTCTCTCTCTTTTTTCTTTTCCGGCTATTTATTTTACGATCAATAAAAGTGTCACACTGCAATCACTGATGTCTGTATTCAAGGTAGTGGCCTTTAGAGATTTGGGAGCGCACGCTGTGTATTTCAGCACCACGGACAGCTCCCCTGAAACATCGCCCTGTATTAGAGCCAGGGGTCTGGATCAGAAAAAGCCACACTCAGACTGTGAGCAAAGCCACACTTTAGCAGGATTAGTATAAAATGAATGGTGGGGAAAAAAAAGAAAAAAAGAAAAAAAAGAAAAAAAAAACATCCGCCATGGGTTTTTAAGAGTCTAGCTGGGAGTTTGTAACCAATATAAGCCACGGGGCACGGGCTGCCTGCTGACTTTTAAAACACTCTGCCATGCTTGAGCTGCCCAGGGGATGGAATGCAAGCGGACACAAGGGGGTGTTTCAGAGGCTTCAAAAACAAGTGAAGGAAAAGAGAGAGACAGAGAGAGCAAGAGAGAGAGAGAGGAAGAGAGAGAGAGAGAGAGAGAGAGAAAGGTGGTCACCCTCAGCTCTTAGCTCCCTCTCTCTCTCTCTCTCTCTCTCTCTCTCTCTCTCTTCCTGCATACGGAGAGCTGCTCAAATATTGATGACTTTTAATATAGAATCTGACCTCATATTTTTCTCGGAGAAAATTATGACATTCCTGAGCTTCTCCTTGAATTTTTGAGGGGCCGCCGGGGTGTAGGTGGAGGTCTAGATGCAGGAAGAGGGGGACACAAGTTTGGAAAAGGATGATTTTTGCGTAATTTTAATGATTTTTTTTTTTTTAACTCTAAGGGGCCTTTATGTGAAATGGTTTGAATCGCAGCTACACTCTTGGATTAATTAATCTTCTTTAGAGTCTTTTGTAAGAGATGAATTAGCTCCCACAACGGTGTCAGAACTCTTATTTTACGCAGAAATCATCCTGAAAAGACTTAAAGCTTTTTATAATGTACGCTTTCTCCCCCTTTACAGGCACCTTAGTGGTGCTCTGATGTTAAATGGTACGTGTCCACGGAGGTCGGCTGAGCAGCGTGACACCTTTCCTTTCATCTGTATAGATTTCATTACTCCAGGTGTCTATGAATTAAATCCAATATTCCCCTGGTTAGCTCCATTTGCTGTCGCTTATTAGCTTTGAATGTTCCCTATTAAATAAAAATAAGATAAGCGACCTCCACCACCCCGCCGCTGCTTCCTAATTTGACTACCTTTATAATGAAAGTCAACCTTGGTGTTATGAAACGAGGGCGTATCCAGGTGTATGTGCGCAAAAGAGATGAGAAGGGTCCATCCTGTGACACATCTGTGGTCTCAGACTGACATCTATATTTATGAAACCTGAAACACGCATCCCTGATGAAAGGTATGGCGCATCTATCTCTCCATCTGCGTTATCACATTTGTAATTGGCCGCTTCTTACAGGAGTCTTAATGATTGACAGGAGCCCATTTAAAGAGCCCAAACTCTCCCCTATAGTTCCCTCCCTTTTCCCAGCAGAGGTCTGTCAAACGAAGCCCGCCACCCGTACCTCCTGACAGGGCTCACTTTGAAGGGTCCGTCCAGGCTGAATTGCAGAGCAGATCGTTTCTCAGGCTCGGATGAACATCTTTCATTCTGCTTGGAATGTATTCAAGCCTGTAGTCATTTTGTAAAAGGAGGACATTAAGTTGGGAGGAAAGCAATAATTGGTTTGAATGTGGGGAAAACCTGCTCAAATTGGTACAATTTTCAGTCTGAGACAAGATGGCCAAGTTAAAAAACTGAATCCTAATACCTCCATATGTCGACAGGGAGCACAGAAATCCAACTGCCTGTGTATGTGTGAGCCGCAGTGTCTTATTAAGATCCCATTCTGTTTCCTGAATCTTTGTCCTTTCATAATTAAAAGCCCTTTCTTAATTAATTTGATTCGACTCGATTATCTCCTGATAAAAAACTCCAATCTTGTGACACAAATTGAAAAACTAGCTCTTTCCCTCTGATCAAAAAAAAAAAAAAAAAAGACTCTCCACATGCTCCAAACCCCGCTTACCTGGGAAAATTTGTATTTCAGCTGCGACTGTTCGTCACAGAGGGTCGTATGTAGCCTGGAGGGAGGAGTGTGAAGCTGCTGACCACAAAGTTAGAGGTTCAACTGCATGAACCAGCTGGTTGCAGGAGGCGTTATTTAAGTCTGGCTTGGATTAAACATGCATAATGCAGCAATGCCAACTTATAAACGCCATTAACAGAGGATAACTCTGCGTGCACTTGGAGGGCAAAGGTTCCATCCACTCACGGAAATATCAACATTTTTTCCACAAAGGCATAACCTTAAGTCATTTGAGCATATTGAAATTCAACAGTAACTTAACTCCTATTCACAGTCTCATTACTGCCGTGGAGCGGTGTACAGCCACGCCATTTTATTTCCCCGCTAACACTCTCTCTCTTTTTTACCTGAGACATTGAGATCACGCTGGTCTCCCCTGACTGCTGCCAGGCGCCATTACCTGACGAGTAAGACCATCTGACTGATGGCTTGTGATAGCTTTGAGAAACGTACAATCCCTCAAATAGACCATTTCTGTCTCCCAATTTTACTTTAATATTTCCCAAATGCCTCTAAAGGCTTTGGGACAAAGGCAACTCCGGATTCGGCTAGCGGGGGAGCAAGAGTCGGGGAAAAGCAATAACTTAAATGTCGTGACTTGACACATGGAAATAAGCCTTTTTGTATGAAAATCAAATGGAGATTAGGCTTTCCAGAACAAGACCCATTTGAATTGTATACAGTGATTTTGGTGAGGTTATTATTGAGGGTTTCATATAAACAGTGGAGGCTTGCGTTGTGTTCGTGTGCATTATGTATGTCTGTGTGCACTGAAATGCACTACTTATCCTAGTGCCCTTAAACCATGCTGAAGCACTGTTGAAATTTTAATACTGTGATTTCAGTGGTTTCATGTTTTTGCAGGCTATTTGAGCTCTTTTTTTCTTCTTCTTCTGTCCTTTAGGATGCAGCCTGTGGCTAAAAAAACCACAGGAGATCCAGCTCAGGCGTCTGACAGCCACTGACTTATGAGGAGTGTCACCCTGCTCTGCACATCACTCCTGACCGCTTGTTGACCCTTTCATCAACGCTCAACACTTGTGAAGGAGCTCACTTGTTGACACACCTCATCGGCAAGGCAGAAGTGGCAAAAATCCGAGGAAGAAAGAAGTGAATGGGGGCTAATGGTTGCCTGAAGCGGCTCGTTCACAAGTAGCAACATGCTGCCTCAGTTCCCAAATGAGCCGCTGCACCGCGCAAAGCTGCAGTTCGTTTAGAAAATCCTTTGTGACATTGTCATTTCTGTGACGGAAACGAAAGAAAAAAGCAGTTCCACATCGACCACACAGAACTAGCGATGTTTTGGCTCATATTCTTCACTCTGCAAGCTGTGTGCACCAGTGTGGCACATGCCATGCAGCATTACCCTGCAGCATGGGGACACTATGACGTGTGCAAGTCCCAGATCTACACGGAGGAGGGCCTGGCGTGGGACTACATGGCCTGTCAGCCAGAAGCCACAGACATGACAAAGTACCTGCGAGTGGCCCTCGACCCCCCAAATATCACGTGTGGAGATCCGCCAGAAACGTACTGCGCTTTGGTGAGTCGTAACCTCGGCCGTCCCCTGATGGAGACAAATGAGGCTGTAGGCAGGAGCGTACAGTGTACTGGGTCAGGGATGAAGAGCGGTGCATACAAGGCAACGTGCTGCTGCTGCTGCAGCAGAGATTGATGTGCACTCACACACACAGACAGAGATCATGTGCATTAGGATACAAGTGCAGCTCCCTCTCATCAATAGATGCAGAGATAAATAGGTGCGCGCACACTTGCACACAAATATATATGCATTAATATACTTACTGCACAAGGACAAGAAGGCTTTTTTTTGGCGTGCTCGTGCATACATAATCAAATGTTCACATTCACATGTACGTGCACAGGATTGCAAAAGTAGATTTACAGTACACTATATACATGCATATATCCATGGAGTCAAAGAGAGGACCAATTGCATTGCACAGTTGCACTGCGTTCGCTAAACTTAATGGTTTTTCTGTCATTCAGCTTAAATATTGTCTAGCTTCTCTCTTCTGGGAGTAAGCAGCAGCAGCAGCAGTGATTCTGCAAACTCACAGAATATATCAATATCATTTGGACTAAAGAAAATGTGGAGATAGATTTTTGTTAACAAACCCTAGATTCATAAGTACATGCTGATACACATTAAGCAGACACTTACGCATCTGCACAGTCCAACCACACTCACGCTGAAACACATTCACCGCACACTCACTCAAACAGAGACGCAAAGCAAGGATCAGTGTTAACATTGACAGGGTAATTGTGCTGCCACCGTTATTATGCAGTGCAGTCTCAGCGCAGTGTTTAGCGTTGTGTTTCACCGAGCCTTATCAACCATTATCAACAGTTCAAGCCCAGGTTGAATTTGTTAAGAATCACACTCAAAGTAAGCAGCCAGAGCCCACAGGCTTTAAAGTGCTTCATTAGAAGTCGTGTGTGTGCCCGCCGAGAGCTCCTGCAAGTAAATATTTACCAATTAAAACGGGCATCTTTAAAAGGAGAGGTTTTTTACCCTCGCAGCTCCAGATGGCACTGAGACATTTAATGCCACTGTAGGATGAAAAAAAAGAGCCGGTCTCCTGTCGCGGCGTTCTGACGTTCTGTGAAGTTTCATATCAAAACGAACTGTGGAACCTTTATCTGCCGGCTAGATCATACTAAACACAACATTAACTCTACATGGAGAGAGCCGAGAACAAGGGAAAGGCAGGGGGGATGATGTACTGATGAATCACTTCTCTGCCTGGTAGTTAAAAGCACCTCATTGCAAATGTAGTTATGTTTCCTTGTTAGCTCAATTGGAGCAGAAAGTTCTTCAAAAGAATACTGCGTAGTTTTTGCGACGACTCTGTTTGGTGTAATTTTGTGATTGAATTCCAAAAAAGAAGCTCTGTTCATTAACTTTGAAGCAATTACAGATTAAAAACATAATGTAAAAGCTGCATCTACATCAGCTGCTAGCATGAATGAAGAATTAGTCTTTAAAGACCCACTCTGTTGAAAATCACGTTTTTCTTGTCGTCTACATGCTTATAAGGCATTTTCTGATGCTACAGGAGAATTATGAGAAAACTAAGCGCAAAAATTGCATTTCTGAGTATTTCTGCATTTAAATCACTGTGAATATCTGGCAGACCTAAACGGCAAGTTCAGACACGGTGAGATTTCCAACATAGCAAATCCAAGCTCCGCCGGTGGAGCCCCGCTATGCAGGCCAAACTCGGAAAAGTAGCAAAGACAATTACGTAACAAGCGTGTGCGTTAGCGAATTGCAATGTTCGTAAGAAAGCTAATTATAATTTTAGCTTTCATCATGCCCCTAAACACATTAATGTCCAAGAGCTCAATAGCTCCTATGTTACCTGCCACTTGTACTACACCGGCAATGTTAGGCTGCAAGTTAGCATGAAGAGAAGTGTGCAGTTTAGCACTGTCTCCGCCCACGACTCAGAGGCAAATTGCTAATGATCTACTGGATCTTTGCAGGAGGAAAGCCCTTGAAAATGACACAGGTAATGTGATTTTGGCTAAAAACTTCATAATCACAATTTAAAGACAACTGAGAACATTTTAAGTAGTGAAAAAAAACCCACTCCGTCTGCGACTTTAAGAAAGGCTTTCTCTCGTCATTGGAGAGAAAGAAATCCCGGGGTCTTTGCTGCTGCTCTTCCTGCCTTGGCTTTCATATTTGCTAAGGTGACCAGATTTCTGTAATGAAATCCGGGGACATCCAGGGGGTGGGGGGTACTAAACAAAATGTGATTTCAGGTGCTCTATTTCTGGAGAGCGAAAGTAGTGCATCGTGCTTCCTACCTGACCTAACTGTTGTTCTAGTCAACTCGCAATTTTTTTTTTTTTTCTCATTCATGAAACATTTAAATCGGGGACATTTCCGGGGACAGCTTTAGCCGGGGACAGGTCATCCAAAACAGGTACTGTCCCCAGAACAGAACAGAAATTTCCTAAATGTATGTGGAAGTGCAGCAAGCTTAGTGCATGCAAAAAAATTATGTCTTTTATTTGAGGGAAATGATCCTGACAAAACCAGTGGCATCACTATAAAAGCGTCTGAGCATCTTATGTTTTCCAAATCAGCAAATGTTTGAAAAGCTGGAATAAGTTGGATAATATTACTGTAAAATTCCCACACGGTTAAATTTATAGCATAATAGCAAATAATCTGATCATTGTGTTGATTAAAGTTACAGCAGTAAGTGCAATCCCAACTCTCCCTTATTACACTTGCATTTAATTTGTACCTTGGCACGGCTTAAAGCTTTTATGATGCAACTTTTCACACATTCCTACATCTCACTGCCAAAATGTCCATCACCTCTGACATGAACCCGAGGTCATCATTGTCCAGATGATCGGGAACACGGGCTCCTCCCGCACTCACCTAAACAGCTGTTGTGCGTTTGATCTGTTTACACTCTCGTCTGGCGCACAGGCAGACTGACACCAGTGACCTTATCCACCGGTGCTTCCTCAGAGTTGGTGGGAGATGAGAGGGGCATGCAAATGAGCTCTTTCAGCCAATCACTAAGTTGCCTGCAGTTGTGAGCTCGGTCTAATCACTTTCCCCAGGAGTTGCTTTGCCTCATGGCGAGTGTTCAAAGATTGCATGTCCCTCCCCTTCCTTCCTCCCTTTCCCTTTCCTTCCCTCCTTCCCTTTCCCTTCTGCTCACAATTCTCATCTGTGTCGCTCAAGATTTTTTCCTTTCACATCCGACCTAAGCTTTGCCGAACATGGTGTCAGTGCTCATGAAAAAGGGCATTCATCATTCAAGAGTTGATCTTTTTCAACTTTAGGTTTGAGGCGAAATTGTGACGACACCCTTTTGCTTTTTGGTTGTACTTTCTTGTGAATGTTCAGGACATTAGATAAAGGATAGTCCAGGATAAACAGAGCGGAGGACAGGTGTGATGCATCTGGGAGTTAGCCCTGTTTTTATTTTTAGCCGCAGACCTTCAGGGGTTCTTCAAAATGTGTTGGTATTAAGGCCGTTCTCCTGCGGTGCACTGTGGCACTGTCACTCACTATCAGTCAATACCGGCTTCAGCCTTTTTTTTAATCTCGGCACACTCACACGCAGTGTGCAAAGACTGGAACAGATACACTGTCATTAACGCTGGATTTATCATTCGTATTTGTCTTAGAGTCGAATAATTTCTTAGTCACGCCTTCTGCTGTGACTAATAGACTGAAATAGACATTTGTTATAATCTGCTTTTTTTATAGTTTAACGCAAATTATCCAATTAGCCTCATTCAAATGCTTGTAGGCAAGACGTTTATTAGACTATTGCACCGCATGGGACCAAGCTGTTAATGCAAGAGAACGCCTGCTGAAAGACATCTGCATCTTAAACCTCTCATAATCAGTTTCGATATGGTTGACACACACACGAGGGTGTTTTTAATTAAAGCACTTCTCTGTCTCCTATATACCTCCAAATCAGGTTGGCTTTTAGGGAATTAATGCCATTTACTTTGATTTATTGAGAGGGGAGGTTAAATTTGCATGCAGTCTGGAGTTGAAGTGCATATTTCGTGTTGGGTATTTGTTTGTCTAAACATGAAAAGAGCGGCAGATGGCTGCCTCCACGTCACGAGCTGACTCTACTGTGTTAATCATCTCTGTTTGGTTGATCGGACCACCATGCGACACTCGTGGTGCTGCAGTGTTTGGATTAGCACCCTGCTGATCGGAAAATTCTTCACCCAGAGGTTTGAAGAGACAGTTGAAAGACCCTCTGTTCGCTCACATTTCCCAAACTGATCTGCCAGTTTATCTAAATGGATAACTGTTCGTTCTAAGCCAACATCTATAGCACTTGTCCTCTGCGGCATTTCCAACATGCCGATTCGACCACGTCACCGCACAAACATTTGTGAGACTGATTCAGAAATGTTGCCCATTCCAGCTACTTTGCGACTAACCGGGTAGATTCTTGTAATTCCTCTGAACTTTATTCAGCTCTCTCAGAATGGATGAAAGGAGCCGAGGCTGCCAGTTCACCACTCGGCCCCCTCGGAGGCTTAGGAAGGAGAGACGAGACGAGAGCTTCCACTAAGCTGCTCGGAGACTGCCACGTTATTGACAGTCAATGCAGCTGACTTATCTTTGCTGGCAATGAGTGGAGTCATTGTGAACTTTCAATCTGTGTCTTCTGTGCCCACAAGAGCTGATGTAATAGACTTTAGAGAGAGAAATAGATTACAAGCTAGACAAAGAGAGGTAACCTTTAGGCTGGGAGGTCATTGACAGAAATAGTGAGTCTGCAGAAGGAGAACGGCCTTCAGCTCTTTCAGAATATGATTATATCCTGTGAACTTGTTTTGACAGTCGGATATCAGAGGAATCACACAGCTGCTGCTTTAGGACGCTTTAGTTTGTGTCCTGATTGTCCTTTTTTGACTTTTAACAATGAAAGCAAAACTGAAAGTCCTGTAAAAGCAGCAGCATGAATGTCACCGCTCAGTTGTAGTTTATCACTTTCCAGGGCTACATTTTTTGTGAGTAGCAGCAGGCGGCTATTTTCAGTCGCAAAGCTGTGATAGACTCTCTTTGAACTGGGAAGTTGCTGGAAACAGCTACATGTCGACCGCACAGTAAATTTGCAGTCTCACTGTTAGGTGTAATCTTCACCACTTATCCCATTTGGGTCACTGGGAGCTGGAGTCAGTCCCGGCTTTCATTGGACACAAGTCACCAGTCAATCACAAGGCTTACAATCAATATAATCACCTTCAGACAATTTAGGGACAACACCTAACCTAACAAGCATGTCTGTAGACTGTGTGAGGAAGCCTGAGGCAGCCTACACACAAACTCCAGAGAGACTCGATCATGGTAACCATCGCACCATGAGACCACAGTACTTACAGCTGACTATAGAGTAGTGCCGCCAAAAAGATTACAAAGAGGTCCAAGGTCATGGCAGCACCAAAAAGTCACAGAGAGCCAGGAGTTTCCCGTAAAGGCATGAAAGAGCAAATCAAGAGGGATGAACAATTCCTTCATTCTTAGAGGCATGAAAGCTGACATTGTCAGTTCAGCTTGGGAGATCAGGGACTGGACATTTGGTGTTAGTGATTAATGTGTAGTGGAGTGTAAAAAGCCCTCTGATTTGTGTTTAACCACAACTAAGAGCCACACATAGGCAGGATTTAGACTGGGACCCTAAAAGTTATAAATGATAAAGCCTTAGGCGTTCTCTGCAGTTCTGGAAGTCTGCAGACCTTGAAACTCATCATTGTGTAAATTAGTGCAGCAGTAAGAAACTGACTGACTTCTTAGAGTAATTCCATGATATGCATGTTCAGGATAAAAACAGCAAAGAAATAAGAGATGCCAAAAATGTTCGTCTTTTTGAAATACTATGAAATACTAATACAGCAGCACATTTCAAGAAAGTGGGAACACAGTACAACTTTCCAAAGAATTTTGAGATTTCATCTACTACATCATAGTATTGCAATATTTTGTCTGGTGATATATCATATTGTCTCACTGACCAAGTATCAATTTCTCAAATTAATTGCTAATATGAAGTCAAATCTATGATAATGGAAAAATAAAATCAACTGTTTGTCCAGTGAGGTTGGCAGAGGTGACATCATTGAGCAGGAGAAAGTTAGTACAACAAATATAAGGTTTGCGAGATGTGCTACATGAAAATAAAATACAGCATAAATAAGACAAACATACAGGAAAGCCAAATGCTTAATTAGCTAAACAGTTGAAAAATTTGTGTAGATCGCAATATGTTGTATCCCAACACTTTCAAAATTGCAAAATGCTAAAAATCTCAATAATATTATATCGTAGCCCAGGTATCGTGATAATATCATATCGTAGGGCCACTAGTGATTCCCAGTGACTGAGGTGATCCCGAGAAATTCATGTACAAAAGGACAAGGCTGAAAACTGGCTGTGATCTCTGGGACCCTCGGGCACCACTGCATTAAAAACAGACATGACTCTGCAGTGGAAATCACTGCATGGGCTCAAAATCACCTCCAAAGACAGTTTTCTTTAAACATGAGTCAAAAATGCTGGCAACTTCTCTGCACCTAAACCCATTTATGACAAACTAAACTGAAGCGGGAAACTTTACTTTGGTCAAATCAAATTTGATATTCTTTCTGGAAATCATGGATACGGCTCTGAGGAGGAGAGGGGCTACCCAGCTTGCTATCAGCTCAATAAACAGCATGAAGGCGTCATGCTAATGCTGAATAATATCAACAGGGTTTGGAGCAGCAGAAAAGTCTGGATGCTACGCTGGTCTGCAGTCCCGACTTGTTACCCAACAAAAATATACTGAGCGTCATGAAACAACAAATATGAAAAAGAAGACCCTAGACTGTTAAGCAGCTGAAATCTGATATCAGACAAGGATTCAAAACTCTGGAAATTCATCTCTTGGGGTTCCTAAATGTCCATTTAAAAATCTGTCGCTGGCATCAAATTTAAAATGAGCATACGTTCTCTGTGGGGGATTAACTGACTTGCAAAATATCAAAACGTGTTTTTATCAGAATTTTTCCAAGCATCACAACTTTTTTTGGAATCGGGTGTACTTCGAGTTGCTAAATATAAACATACAAAGACAGAGTGGCTTTAGGCAGACTGTTAGCAGCTTGCACACTACTAGGATAGCCCTTAAGAAACAAGCTCCAAATACAGACATCACCAACCAAACTCACAACACAACGAAAAACTTCCTTGTCTCAAACTTGGAGGTGTTTTAGGACAGTCTGAGTGTTATTATGGTGAAAAGTGTCTCTAATTACTGAAATAACAGAAGTTCAGAGGTCACGCTGGAAAACGCCACTGCCCCTCTTTGATCCTTGTAACCTTCCTCCCTGAGAGTGGGGGCTGGTGGGGATTCATTCATCCATATATTTGTTTGGGGACAGGGAACAGTTGGAGCGTTTAGCTTCCTGTCAACCCTGTGCCCTTGACTCTGTTCTGAACTGGCCCTGCCCAGCACATCATCACCGCACCACTGCGTACCAAGACACCGGGATGACATGCAACATGTCCCCTGACTCCCGGAGAGAGAGGGTGGGGGGAGCCATCATTTATTCTTTCACTCGCCTGCCACCTCTTTTGTCTCTTGGCTTTTTAATTTCCCTGTCCCTTGTTTTCTGTCAGCTGATGATGCATAATATCCACAGCTTGTTTGAACGTGCGCAGGTTGGGTGCTGTGTATGAGGTGAGCGCTTGACAGATAGAGATATGTCGGCATTATTCTCGGGGATATGTGACAGGTTAATTCTTGGAGGGTTGTAAATACAAAGACGGATGAATTATGCATGGAGATATAAAAGAAAGTGATGGGCTTTGCGGTTCAGCCAGACAGAGTCTTTCTGGACAGCTTAACATTTGAATGCATGTTTGCCGTCTGAAATGGAGCGACTGCAACCGGATTCATAATGCTTCATTATTTTTTAAAGACTACTCCTGAGCAGACATATTAACCAAGAAGACATTTAAGGTTTTACTCTTTTCCTGCACAATTGATGATAAATTCAGATTTTCTTTTTGAAACGGTAATCTCAACCTTGCAGGAAAATTAGCACTGCTCTCGCCCATACAAGCAGATCCTGAGGTCCTCATACATTTTTCATCAATTCAAACTATCTTATATACACACTGATATTAATGAATACAAGCAGATCCTGCATTCCTTATATCCTCTTCAACTCTTTGCTGCTTTACTGACTTCTAATGGAAACAAGCTGCTTCATATGGCAGCCTGTCAAAGTTGGATGTACTTTGATGTCGTATTTGCTCGCTGCTTTTGATATGATTTGACAAACATTTCTACTAAACACAGCATGGGGTGGATGCACATCAAATTCAGCGAGTTCATTAAGAGCACATGTTATCATCAGGAAATGTTAAAGTGATGCTAAATCTCTCAGTGATTTAAAGCAGAACGACGAAGCCGTACATCTAACAAAGAGCACCTCAACCAAGGTCAGAAGATGATACCAACATGCTGAATATTAAACTGAATTAGTTAAGCTGTAAGGAAAAAGCATTACCACTACACAACTACTAATACTGTACATAGAGGGATGTTGTTCAAACTATCTGAGCTATATTGTTAGAAAAAGGTGACCTATCAGGATGTATTTAGGTCATTTATAAACTGATTGATCGGGTTGTATCCTAACTTGTGTGCAGTTAGTTAGAAAGGCTTTCTGGGGTCAGAAAAGGAAAACCTGAGTTTTTTAGAAGTTCAGAGAGCTAGAAGAAAAAGAGCCAAATTAAGTGGTGATGTGCTAAAAACCAGTCATGTTCTCATGCATAATATCTGTTTCATCCTCAGATGCCCGTTCCCCGGGGCACTGGGCTCATCTCGCTATTTAAAAGCCTATTGCTTTGGGTCTGTTGTTTCTGAAGAGTTCATTTTGTTTTTTCAAATGTTTGTATTTGAGTATTTCTTTGTGCTGACTTACAAACTGTCTCTAGATTTGTTTTGTTATTGGAAGCTTGTTGCATGATTTTCTAAAGTACCTGCCTTAGGACAAGAGATTACATCTATTTTTTTTGCTAAAGCCAGTGTATTTGAAATGAAAAGGAGTTGGGCCACTTATAAAAAAAAACTTGAAATAAGTGTCAGAATATTATTACATCAGATTTTTCAGCACATTTCTAAATTTCTTCTCAAAATTCTGAGATCAAAATTTTCACATTTTTATACCAGAATTCTGACTTTAATTTCAGAGTTCAGGGAGAAAAAAATCAAATTCTGCGATCAAAGTCAGAATTTTGATATCAAAGTCAGAATTGTGAGATCAAAGTCAGTATTCTGGGTAAAATAATCTGGATTCTGAATCATGAGATTAAATCAGAATTCAGAGATAAAAGTCAGGAATTAAACTTCTTTAAAATTCCATAGAGTCTGACTTCTGACTGGTAATTCATAATTCTAAGAAAAAAAAAATCAAATTTGGACAATTTTTCAGGAAAAAGGCCAAACCAAAAATTTGCCCTAATTCATTTATATTTTAATGAAGCATTTTACTGATAAACTACTTAATATGCGTTGTTAAAATTCAGCACATCCAGTCAAAAGAAAACTAATCATGACTGAAGGTCAGATACCATTTGAGGTAAGTTTGATAGTAACCCACTGGTCACATGTCCAAGCTTGAGTTTGGTGTGAAATTAATCACTGGCTCAATGTTGAGGCTCATTCCTCCATTAGACTGATTCTTTCCCTCTTTAGAAACACACAGCACCTTGTGAATGCTTTTACTAACAGCAGATGTAGTGGTAAAAGAAGCACAAAGATAGTATCCTTCTATCCTGAATCAAAAGTAGCAGCAGCACAATGTAAAGAAACACACACAGGCAAAAACCAACAACAACTGTCAAAATACAACCAAAGCTTAAATCAGATGAACAATAAAGTACCTGTGAGATGACAGTTTGATGTGTGGTGGTTGGATAACTCTTGGAGAGAGGACACTTCAGGGTGTAGAAGCCAAACTGTCTTAAATCTTTTTCCCACACTTTACCAGCTTCAAAAAATGAGCACTTCCTGGTTCTTCAGCACATGTGACAGAATCGACCAATCAGAGGCTTTGGGGATAGATAACAAGGAATACCACAAAGGTAGATTCTGAGGTTTTTGTCAGTGTTTTAAACATGCTGAAATAAACATTTAATCACTTAAACATGAAAATGATGACTCTGACAAAAATGGTGATAGTTCCATGTATAAGAGTTATAAACATAATTAATAAAAGGTATCTTAGAAATAGAAATGAACTCTTAAACTGAATATGAATGAATCCTTTTAAATAAGTACTTTCAGGCACATAAAAAATTAAGGTTATGCTTATTCTTACTATAAAAACAGATACATGTTTGCGAAGTTAACTCTGTGCTTTTATTTTGTTTTATTACAAAGAAACCAAAAAGTTTGTTGTTACATTAGTAAAGTTAAAAGAGAGAAAGAGTCATAATTTCCTCTTTAATTGTGTTCAGTAGTGCCTACAAGTCCCTGAAAGTTTTAACATCTCATTCTGTTATTTCTAACTCTGGACTGTATATTAAAATGGCTGCCACAAGTGTTCATGGACTCTAACCTCAAAACATTTAGAGCTCCCCCTACTGGCTGGCTGCGGTATTGTCACAAACCTCACCTTCTTCACTTTAACAGATGAAATTTAGGTTTCAGTATGAAATCAAATTACATTTCAAACACTTGGTTTCTGTCATTGTAGACAGTTTTATTTTCCTGATTGATGTTTAGGGTTTTTATTCTGAGAAGTTCAGTTTTAATGAGGTATTTGTATTTAGACATTTGATTGACAGCTCCTGACAGTCTTTCTCAGATCTCAGCTGAGTCAAGGAAACACTGACAAACTAACTCAAGATGTTCAGTGATCTCTATATAGCTGTAAGTGTTCGCTTTCAATCACAACACAAGAATCAGATGATGGTAATAGTCTGATCTTAGTTTCATTTATGGCAAATTAAGGTCAATAGGTTTATAGTACGAGCATATCAGTGAGGGCATTTGTTGTAATGAAGCTGAGGTAAATAATGAGTGGTGGAATCAGAACAATTGAAAGAAAGGGAAAAAAAGTAATGCAGTTGATACTATCTTTGTACCAGTGAAAGAAATAAAGTGGCTGATGCAAATGGATTTACACTAGCTCTGTAACAGTGATAATGATGGTGAGACTGATGCAGGCCGGTCCACCGCAGCAGGATGTCTGCAGAAGGCTCGATCAGAGGGGCCTGATCACTGAAACTATATGGTGTAATCTGCCATAAATCTTAACAATTTAATGTGTCACTCCTGAAAATATTTACCATGCAAGGTATGAATAAAAAGTCTTTGTCTGACTCCTACCCTCTGGCATTGAAACGATTAGTAACTATTTAAAACATCAAGTCTTTGTGCTGCTGGTCTGGGTAAGTCTCCTCACAGGAGCTTTAATAAACACCATTGGGTCACCTTCAGATTTGTTCCTTCATGGAGAGGAATAAAGAGTTGCTGTTTTGGACATATGTCAAAAAAGAGAGTTCCACTTTCTTAATAAAGTTATTTCTAAGTTTACATCTGAAAATAGAGCAAACTCACAATGAACTGAATCCTTACTTCTTATCTTCTTCTTCTAAATTTGTACTTTCACACACTCTCCATATAAGATATTAAATCTGTTTGCTTCCCTTTAGGTTTGGATTTAAAAAACAGAGGGACAAAGACGAATCTCATTAGCATTTACAGCTGGAGGACCCAAATTTTGAAGATAAGATGGTATTTTGGAACGATTTACAGAAAATCCTCTTACCTCACTATATGACTCAGCTTCCTTTCTTCCCGTAGTCCAGCCTCATACCCGTCATTTGCAGCAGCCTTGCATGCCAACACAGTTTTGCCGCTTGCCTGGCAGAGGCGTCAAGCATTACGAGGATGAATGTATCATCTGTGAATCACTGTTCGTCTTCCACCTCAGAGCGCAGGAAACAATTAGTTATTTCAAAGTGCGTGGTGTCTGTCAATCCCGAGGAGACAGTGGTTCCTCAGTAAATACACCCTGTCAATGAAGTGTTGTCTTAGTGGTGACGTTTCTGTGGTGACCTATTGGCTTTAACAGGCAGGAGATTCACCACAGCGTGTTCAGTTTCTGCTGTGTCCATCTCCTCTCTTATATCTTTAAAAAAAAAAAGAAATAACAGGCTGAGGCTGTCGACGCTGTAATTTTAGAAATGAAAGGGAATTCCTTCACCATTAAATTGAATTCTTTTCGCTCTCCAAGCCTTCAGTGCTTGCACAGCCTTTCAGTCCCCTCTTTATGCCTGACAAGCTGAATGGGATTCTTGTAAAAGATACAGTAATTGAATTACTCCAAAGCTATTTGGCAGACTGGCTCTATGTTGCCTCCCAAGAAAATCTCAACTTGGCTCACCCTGGTGCCAAAAAGTTCATCTTTTCTCTCTCTGCAGGGCAGTGCATGCAGATGTGAAGGACTTCCCCACCCCCAAGACACCACCTGTAATTTTGTCCAGGCTGAGAGGTGTCAACCAATCAGGCGGGAGATGAAAACTCCAGAAGCTTTAACCTCAAAAACCTGTGTTTGTGGGAATGCAGCTGTGTTACAATTCAAGCTTTTAAAAGTTCATTTTCAACTTAAAACAAAAGCAACACCTACCTTTGCCTTCAGTATAATAGGAGCAAGAATAGAGTATTATAAGTCAATCAAAGTCTGTTGTAATTACGGTTATTTGAAACGAATCAAGTTGATATTTACAGGTAGAGAAGTTATCAGCAGGTGTTCTTTCTTTTACATAATTATTCTCAATTTTGCAAAGATTTTAGATGATAATGGTGTTGGGTTTCTTTCCAAAAACTGGATTGGTCTTGATGAGAGTGTAAACAGGAGAAAATCAGCTTTTTAATAAAAGAGATCTTTTTTTTATTTATTTCCTTCGCCAAAACATCAATACTAAAGTGAAACTGGCCATCAATGATCATTGAATTTGGACTTTAAAGCCACTATGCCACTACTGAGAGCTCTTCGCAGTAATTTTTAAGAGGTTTATAGGATGCCTTTTCTTTCAATTACCGAATACCACAGGAGCTCACCTATAGGCAAGTAAGTGAGGAGGTCGGATTACCTGGTAAATTATAAAAAATCTTTGTCTATCACTTGATCCCGCTGGTTGAATTGGTAAGGATGATGGTTGAAATTACCTTGGATGTGCAAACGAAGCGAGTAAATACAATTCATTCTTGCATCTAGATTTGTGCGAATTAAGCAAGTAGATGATTTTACTCTGGCTTGGTGTGGGCGCCCCATTAGAGTTGGTTTTAAACTCACTCTCCGTATGAGGTAAACAAAGTGTTACTTCAATTTTGGCGCCCCCTGTGGACAAAGTATTTATTTCAGGCCGAATAAAAACTCTTTACAGGACCTTTAAACTCCCCAATATAAAATTCTTAATATATGCAGGATTTGGGTCGATGTGTTTGCCTCAATTTTGGAAAGAATAAAGCGAGCTGTTTCCCACATTTTAATGCTAAACTAGGCAAAGACAGACTTCCAAACTGCAGGGACTAAATCTGAAGATTGGCAAGAAATGAATCTTTTCTTAAAATTTGAGGAAATAAAATGTGAATATCTGACTTTTTATCCCCTGAAACTTAAACTTAGGCTTAAAGGTCTTGGTGTGTGTAGCTCCTTAACTTTGCATCAGGTTACCGCCATCATCCCCAAGAAGTCAAAACATCGGCTGCAGTTTCTGAAAAGGTTAAAAGTTACATGGCAGGATGTTATGTTTCTGTATATATTTCTATTTTTTCTGTTTTGAGGAATAGTGAACTGTGTCAGGGGGGAGCAACTTGAAAGAGAGAAATAATGGCGAGATGACAGGCAACTGTTGCGACCCACCTCCCCTTAGGAAACCCAGCCATCATGTTGTCAGGCTGTATCGATCCGCGAGAAAGAGTGAAAGAGTCTGTGCTGGAGAAAGAAAGGCAGAAAGATGGAGAGGGTGAGAGGTATATAGATGAAAGTAAAGAAGGGGAGAATGTGCGTTTCCAAAAGTGGCCTGTGCGATTTTATCATGCTCTGTGAAAGGGGTGACATTTCAGTAATGCTTTATTCCTCACTTTGGCATTTCAAATTAATAAAAGCCTCTAATAACTATGCAGATTGAAAAGATGGAGGATGAGTTGACACACAATGAGCTAACACACTGAACAATGCAGCAATTTCCCCACTCGCTGTCTCTCGTTCTTTCATTCGCTCACTCAATTTCATCCCAGTTTCTATCAATTTCTCTGCGATGACCCCTGCATCTCATTGTGAAAGACTGAGAGCTGAGTCCATGTCCTCTGAATTTCTCCTCAATGAGACGACACTTCAGTGGCAGGTTTTCATGTGTTTTGAAGCTGCTCCTATGAAACCAGCTGGAGTCAAAATCGATAATGTAATGATTTTAGAATAATTTATCTGCAAGTAGTTGGGATGGAGGCATTCAAGGGTGATAAATGGATCTCATTCTTCTCGTTTTTTAGCTTCAATTGTTTCAAACTACATGTCCTAATAGCAACACAAAGAGTAGATCTAATGGAAAATAGTGAAAGTTTGAAAATACAGGGAGTTTAAATGAGTTTACGTCAGTTGAATCAACTTTGAACTTGTTTATCCAGACATTATTTAGCACATTAGGCAACGGCAAACCGTCTTTAAATTTCAAAATAAAGTCAATCAGTTTACATCTATGTTTTTCAATTCTATATCCTCATTTGCAAGACTCGGATAAAAGGATTGGCACAGCTTTCATGACAGTTGTTGCACCGTCTTTGCTAACAATGCCGACAGCAACAGTAGCTAACAGCGATGCGACCTTCTGACTTTGTTTTCAACTCATAATTGGAAGATGGTAAACTTGTCATTCCCTGCTCCAATAACCATGCCCCAAGTTAAAAGTACGCACCATAAGCTTGTGAATAATTCATCGTAAATTATCACGATAACCTGCAGTCAACATATGTTAATGCTAACTAGTTTTGAGCTAATTAGCTAGGTAAACAGAGACTCTTGGTGGAACTTTTGGTAAACAAAAATTTCTTTGCTATGTCTGATCCAAAAGTGGAAATTCAACATGAAAACAAGACTCTGGAAAGTCACGAAACATAGCCGCTGTTAGCAAAGAAGTTGTTTCAACATGTAACTTCCTGAAAAACTGCAGCTAATTTTTTTTGTTAACTTCCTCTGTGTGCCTTTTAGGTGAATAGATAATACACAGGATGCACATTTTTTAAGTTATTGGTTAGATTGGTAATTCAGATCTCTACTTCTAATCTTAAACCAAGCTTAGCTATAGACTCCACAGCTTTCTGCGAGTAACTTCAGCCGTCTCTTTTCATTAGATTACCCTTTTTGTGCTTGATTGCAGACTACAGATGTCGCAAATGCTAGCTGTTGTATATTTACATTTTTTGATTGACTTTATCTGTCTGTAGTGGGTCTACTTTATGACCTACACCACAGCTAGCCACCAGGGGGAGCTCCAACAGCTTTTGGCTTCACTCAAGAATGCAGTTGTCCTGTCTGTAGTTATGTACAGTCTATCTAAGGTGGGAAAAACATGTATCCTCTCCAATTTTACATGCTTATTTTTGGTGGGCTGTGTGACGTGCTTTTTTATTGTCTTTCCAGTATCATTTTTAGCTTCCACTCTTTAAACCAGCTAAGCTAACTACTCCCTGATTGCAGCTCCTAACAAGGTAAAGACAGGAGACCCAGACTGATCTTTCTGTCAAACTCTCAGAACAAAAACAAAATCACATCATGTGAGTTGAGTGACATTCTAGTGAGGCTGTTTTGTATAAAATACTTTAGCACAGCTAAACCAAAGAGCAACAAACCCACAACTCCTGCATTGTTAGTTTCTTCCCTCATCTTTGAGGATCACGGGAGATCCCAGTAAATTTTCCTGATGTGTTTATTTTTCTCTGAAATATCTGCCTGCTTTTAAGTATTCTGTGTAAAGTTTTCCTGACAAGAGAGATTTCCGTTTTTACCGTGCAAGCCGGTGAGGTTTTATCCCGCTCTGCTTCGGAATACAGAGCGCCACGAAGCGAGGGGGAGAATTAAACATCTTCTCATTATAGCAATGTTAAAGCTTTTTATTGAATCCTGACATCAGAGGGAGTCTAATCCCGCACACGCAGATTTATGCAGCCACACACACTGACACACAGACACACACACACACACACTCTTACCAATTCAGAGGAAAATGTACAGGTATGCTTATTGACTGATAAAAACAACAATACTCATGTACAAAGGGCTTGGTTTCAGTGGTCTATATGTAGACACAAGAGGTTTTCTACACACACGTATGAAAGCCAACCACCATGAGCACCATCCCCCACGTTAATAAGGCGGTGTTAAATTTACCCCAGTGGGACTCTGCCACATGGGACAGATAATGAGACCAGGTGTTAATTAATGTGGAGTGCATTTCCCCTCGTCTGCTTACACCCCGTGAATCCCAATCAAGGCTTCAGCCGTGGATGGAGGCTGCTGCTGATTCGCCAGGCAGCGTACTTCAAAAGCCAGACTGGCTGAGCTGCAGTCCTCAAAGGGAGTGCTCTGGCGAGGGCTGCGCTCCAAAGGGCGGAGGGCTTGGCATGTGGCAACACAAAACAGGAGCGCGGGGGGAGAAGTTTGTGTTTTTGTTTTGATCAGGCGTCTGTAAGGATAGCGAGTTACAGCCGTCACCTCTGCTCCCTCTGATGTGCTGTTTATCCAGCCACCTGATGCATATGTTTTCATTCTGTTTACAGTCTGCTGCCTTGCAAATCACTCTCAAAGGAGCATAATGGCGTGTATTTGCAAGCGTTACCTTATGAATGACTGTAGCAGCTACTCCACATGCATATTCTACATTCTTGTTGGCCATTTTTTAACCCTTAAACTCATTGGTAATCAAATAAGTCAAGCGCATGCTGATTGGATGATGCATTCTGCTCTGATTTTATGTATAAAATGATTTCATCTGGCTACATCGTTGTTAGATTGCTTGTTACATGCCTGATATACATTCATATGTGCATCAACAACCAGCCGGGAGCCTCAGATGGAAATTAGCTTGGAGCTACAATCTGTCACATTTACATACCCATGTTTTTTTAATGTCCACTGTCCGTTATATAAGATAAATAAATACATTGTGTTGTTTCAGCTGTTTACCTCTAACTTGGCTCTATGATTATGAAACATCATCAAACAGTAAGACCGTTTCCCCCCTGAATAAAGAGCCGAAAGTCTTTTTCTTGGATCAATTCTTGTTTCTTTTTCTTCAAAATAAAACTTCCTTGGTCATGATGAATTTGATTTTTTATGCAATTGATTCTCCAATAAAAGAATTAGGATTGTGAGCCAAGAATGGTAGAAAAGTTACATCTAAATCTGTTAAAAACATGCAGCCTGTTTAGCTGAGCTTGTTGGATGTAATATGAAGTGAATGGACTGAACCATTTTAAAATCGTTGCCTGGCTTTCACATGCTCATCTGTCAGGGTTTTCTCTCTGGCAATCCTTCACATGTCCAGTTCACTTAGGTTATCAAACCGTCATGAGTGATGGTGTTTCTCGAACATGCATGATACTCAATTTCCATTATGAGTTGTCAGGACCCCCTTGTCTCTTCCCCTCAAACTTTAGATACGACACGATGGAGCGCTCACAGGTCAGATGAGCAATCCTCCTGTCCTCCGTTGCTCTGAAGGTCAGGAGAATGAAAAGCCTGGCTCTGTTGTGAGCCTCTGCTGGCCCTGACTGCAGGTCATTAAAGCTCTATTGAGTTTCTGCCAAAGCTCTGACTCTCCCAATATCTCACCATGGCTCATCTCGGCTGTCTCTTCCGTCAGAGCTTATACAGAGCCCTGAAAGGATCAACACTCAGTCTCTGTGTTCGCTATACACTCTAGCATTCCCACTCCTAAAAAGCCGACCTAGATCTACCTTGATATCATCCTTTTTTTGCGGCCCGTCCTCTGTGTATCACAACAAACGTATCATCCTCAGTCATATCCAGGCACAGTGTGAGTGCAGGGTGAAGAGAGCTCGCCTTTTTGCTCTTATTGAAAGTTGAGAATTTATTGCGGTCTCTGATGGGTATCTTCAGCTTTTGTCAAGTGGTGCTTCAGCTCGAATCATCGTTCTTTTTGTAACTCGAATCAAGTCCCTTAACACTGAATCGCAGGCCCTGGATGTCAGCGAGCCGTCATTTGTCAAACTTCTTCTCCTCCTCTGGTGCGGCCCGTGAATGAGGATGGGCACTCAGAGGTGTGATAGAGGGGGTTTGGGCCAGCGACAGGTCTGCAGGTGTCATGCGGCAGGTTAGGAGGTGTAAGGCCAAGCAGGATGATGGGATGATTAATCCAGCAACACCTCCGCTCCAGAGGGAGAGACCTCTCTCACAGCAGCAGAGAGGAAGTTACTGACGGTTCAGCACAAAGTAGAAAGGTACACACAGGTCACTGACTTTCTCATTATATAACCGCATATTATTATTTAAGTCTGTGACATGGAGGTATTTTATAAAAGTAGGTGGAGAATCCTGGGTTTATTAAAAGTACCAGAATTGGCTTTCATTGTTTTCAATTTATGGAGAAGAAATTAGTTTTGTTACAAGAAAGGGATGGCACATCTGTCTTGTTCAGTAACAAGGACGAGAAGTAAGAAGTTTAGAGTTTTGTTGTCAAAAACTTTTCATCAAATGAGTAAAAACAGCTGCAAGGCTTCTAAATGTCAGATCAGAAGAGTACTTTTTTAATTCAATGAAAACAAGAAAAGCTAAATGCTGCAGTTCCCTGAGTGCCCACTAGAGGCTGGCTGTAGAAGCACCAGAAACCAGGTTTTGAGAGTGAAAATAAAACACGTACACTGCAGGTAAAAGCTGTTCACTGACATTCACTGTACACTCGTTTTAAAGTTATTAAGGTGCAGGATTGGTAAATTAGAGGCATGACTGCAAATGACTGACAGGTGGACACAATATAGTGGTTTACGAGGAGGCTAAAGTCCAGCCTTTGGTAGGTTGACCAAACTTAAGGTTGAGTCAGCATTACCAATACGGAGACCGCCACCAATTGGCTGTAGATACAGATGGGTGACGTCCACTTACTAATAAATGCGATGAAGTCAGATGTGCTTTTTCAGCAAATTCTTCAAATGTATTTTTATGTGTCAAACTCTCTACTGTAAAAATCGATTACAGCAAACAGACAAAGTTCACGGTTCATTTTAGTGCAATGTCAAAGGTTTTCTGTGTTTTCCTCAAATTTTTCAGTAAATCAAACAGTTTGATTGCTAAATTTCGTGGTTTGGATTTTGTGGAAAATTGTTGATTTGTGTCCAACCTTCTGCTTTTTATCACTTTGTTCAATGGCTTCTTCAAATGTCAGATTATGAATATTAATTAACCTCAGATCTCAGCAATTTCTATGTCAAGTACAAAGCGTAGAAATGAGGAGCAAAATGAAACAAAATGAGACTCATAATCTTACCACAGTTGGATTTCCCAAGGAATTTGAAATCATTTGCAAATTAATTATTATGAATAACTTTAGATTCTAAATCTTAAAATTACTCTCTTGCCTTAGGGTGGATGCAGCTAAAAGGGCAGTTTCACTAGAACTGGTGAAATATGCTCTCTGCAGAGGCCTATCATGAAAACTTAAATATCAACATACTAGTTGTATAATTCACTGAGAAACAGCGAGCATATAATGCATGTCAAGCTTTGTTATGTAGCTCCATGGCGGCAGCGGAGACAAACTACGTTCAGTTGTTTTGTGATTGGTCTGCTACAAATCTGACAGACAGATCACTCATCCAATCAGCCTCTGAGTTTATTGAATTGTTCTACTCAATATTTACACACTGTGAACTTAGTGTTGTCCAGATAGATGTGAAGCTTTATCGTGAAGTGCAAATCAGAATTGAATGAATTAGTATTTATGATAATTTCAGTTTCCTCCCAGTAAAATAATATTATTATTCCCTCCCTGTGTTGTGGCTCCTGACTGAACTGCTGTGTAATTTGTGTGCTGAATGATCTCTTTATGCGCTCTGAGTCTCTGTTCAAACCCAAAATAAATTTCCCCGAGGACGGTTTGGTAACTGATAGCACAATTTTCCCCCCTTCTTTTTTTTTTCTTGGAAACATTGCCTCAGTCAAATCAAGTCAAGCCAAATTAATTTAGTCAGCATTTGCTAAGCGTAGCTGCTGGTCCTGGAGAGAATTACAGAGAAATAAAGCAGAGAGAGCGTCTCAAACTTCCAGCTGAAATGTCACAACGGTGAAAGAACAAGCTCGCCTTGAGGGAGATGACTTGAGTAGGAAACGGTGGTGGTGGTGGTGTGGTTCAATCTGTAATCTGAGCTTCAAGTCCAGGAATCTGTCAACTGAACTGATTGGTTGGATTGCCTGCACACATCCTTCACCAAGAGCTGTCACAGGACAGAGAATTTATCTGCAGAGCCACATCCTGTGTCAAAAGCCACATCAACAAGTTGCGTTTTATCAGTCACACGGGCCATATGTCAGTCATTTAAGCATCTGCCTCATATCACATCATCGGCCGCCCTCCTGTGTGTTCGTCCAAGCTCTGGCGAAGGCTGTCAGTGCTGCACATTCAAGAGAGAAAACATCAATTGTTGTACTGTTCTGAACAATTTTCAGACAATATTTCAGAGATTTTATTGATGTGCAACACGTTTATTCTGTGTGTGTACTTTGTTTCCTCACGCTTGGTTGATCCCAGCAATGAAAGCTCAATAAACTATTGAACACGGCTGTGAAATTACATCTAAATATCCACTGAGCTTTCATGACAGTCTGCGCCGAGAACAACCTGATTGCATGGTACCGCGCTGAATGACATTTGGATGTACATTCCTTGCTTTTGTCTCCCTGTTTTTTACCTTGTTCTCCTGCTCTCTTACTGTGTGACACCCTGATATTGGATTGACCTTAAAGGCAGCAGAGATCAGGACATCATTAGCTGCAACCAGCCCAAGACTTGCTGCTAAGGCCTCCTGCATTAAGTCGCTGCCCCCGGTCGGATCATATGGCATTGATAGAAACCAGCTGGGCTCGGTTACACTGCAGCCGCTGTGACAGTAGAGATGTCAGCAGTACCAACGAGAGACAGGCCATTAGAAGCCCTGGAAGGACTATTTGTAATGTCAATAGGTGTGGAGTTTGGAGGACTGCCTGACTGCTGAGACTTGGGGTAATTAGGGGGGTCCTCAAAACACACAAACGTAGACTAAAATTTCATAAAAGGACTGTGCCAATTTCTTCTGGCACAGTTCTAGCGATGACTTTTAAACACAAAGTATAGAAGCCAAAAACATCAACATCGACAGTTTAGTGATCCATTCTTTGAAATGCTTTAATTTGCTGTTAGGATCAAGTAATCCGGCTCACTTTTGTCCTTTTTGTCAAAGAAAACCTGATAGAATCAACCTGATCCAGATACAGACCTTAAATATGAATTCTTAGATGAGATGGAGAGACTAAACACAACTCACCCACTCTCCTCCAGCAGCCACTTCAGAAGCGGAGTTTCACAGCTCAAGGAAGAAAATGGGTGATCATTACTTCACGGAAATACAATCAGAGTTCTTGTGTATCTTGTATGTGCACAGCAGACGCGATAGTTCTTCTGCCTTAGCGTTTCAGATTGGTCCATCCTTGTCGATAAACTTTCTTCTGTCATCCCTAATTCAAGTAAACTGAAAGTAACACATTTTGTAATCACTTTCTCATGCTCGGCTGCTGTTGCCTGGATTGCAGGACAGGATCTGGCTTTTCTTTTCTGGTAGTGATAGATGAGGATACCTAGGACGCTCTCATATCTGTGCCAAATAACTCATGTTAATTCCCGTGATAGATCACACATTTGCTAATTTAGCATGCTTGTGTTTTCGCCACATGATCAACAGGCAAAAAGGGAATGAGACTAGCTCATTTCCGCAGGTTCATTTGATATAACCTCTGCGGTTAGATTGTCCTTGATGGTTTATTGTTACAATTGATCACCACTGTTGTGTAGTTTTGACCAATCAGAATCAAGTATTTAACACATTTTAAATCTACAAGTAAGCATATTTCTCTCCATACTGATGACCTTAACACTTAGTTATATTTAGCTTGAAAGTGCTGTCAGGATAACCTTTAATTACACTCGCTCCAGCAGCATTTCTTTTATAAGAGCATTTTCCTGCTGGTCGATATCTCATTTTTTTGCACAAAACTCTTGTTTCTCTCAAACTCTCTGCTGACTATTCCTCTCTCCCTCAGCCATGATCACAGGTAAAGGATCAAGCTGAGAGGGCTTATTGTTTTCCAATAGCTGCCCCCCGGCATAGTGCTGCAGCCCTGAGTCTTAAATGACCACAGAAGCTATTGATCCTCATAATGCATTGTTTTTGTTGTTAAATAACCACCACAGGAAATCCAATGAAAGGTCCTGACCTTTCTCTGTGTCACTATCAGTCCAGCCTTTCCCGGGCTTTCTGAAAGCATTCCAGTGTGCTGCAGATTCATGGGGAAAAAGTAAACACTGCACATGTCACTTAACGTTAGATTTGAGAAGTGATATTAATGATGAAAAGGGCTTTCATGAAAGGTTTGTCCGCAGCCCACCTCAGTATGTGAGTGGGCTGCTTGGGTTGAATGATCACTTCCCTGAAGGCCCGAAGCAGGCAAAGAGAGAGAATGATTATAGATTGAATTTATGACCGCTTTCCACTGGTCTCTGAGCACTTCTTCTGCTGGTGTGATGAGGTGAATTTCTCTCCCTTTAAAGCTTCTATTTACCCCGCTTCTCACTGCTCAGCTGGGGAAATTGTTTTTCTCATTAGCCACAGACGCTGCGGTCTGACTTCTTTATAACATCGGCAAATAACGCTCCCACTTTGGTGGATGCAAAAGCGGCCACCCTGCTGCTCACCCTGAACATCGCCGTGACAACAAATGAAAGACATTTAAGTGAAAATTCATGCTCTTGAATGACAGCGAGGGAATCAGTCTCTTGTGCACTGTCTGTGTCTCCTTCCCTCCCTTTTTTTCCCTTTGTGGTCAAGGTCTAAGCGGGCCTCCGAGGCTGTTCTGGGAAAAGTGGCGACTGTAGCGTGCCACATCATCTGCAAACAGTTGACACAAGTACAATTTACCGTCCCTGTGGCCAAACATCCATCCGATTACCCTCTCTCTCTCACTCTCTCTCTTTGAGAGCTCTCTCTTTTTCTCCTCTGTTTCTGTTTCCAGGCTGCACTCTGGCCTTTCAAGCTTCTTGCAGGAACCGTGTGGGTGTGCACGGGTGTGAGAGGAGATCACTTTTAGCAACAGAGATCTCTCGTTTAAAGAAAACATTGCTAAAAGGCCTCCACTATCACACACTCTCTCCCTCCCACTCTCAGTTATTCTCTCTCTCTCTCTGTCTTATAGCTGTATAACCCTTATTACCCTCCTAATTGGATCATGCATGCTCCTTCGAGTCAGCCAAGCGAGCCTAGTGACCCACAATCCTTAAGTCTTGTTCTACCTCGGCGCAGTGTTATCACGTCTAGGCTGGGAGCGGGTCGCTGATAGCTCATCAGAGCTCCGCGCTGAATAAAAATGAATACGAAGTTTTGTATCTAAAACTGGAGAACTCTTTCATCCATCTTCCTCGAGGGAAGATAAAGAATCGAGGAAGTTTTAGAGGCATTAGGGTCTTTACTCAAAGACAAAAAAGCAGCCATTGGTCTTTTCAAATGAAATATAATGGCGTCTGCTTATCAGTATTCCTGCCAGCGATCTGCGCCCAACAAAGTGGCAGACTGAGCTGAATGCACGGAGAGATAAGCGAGTAATGTTGCAGATAGCACTGTTCTCACCTTTAGATAATTTTGCGTGTAGAGTGTCGGATGATTGCTGATTATCGAACCGCTTTACAGTTGATCTGAATCTCATCTGCACTTAACCTCATTGTTCCTGGAGCAGAGGTGAGAGGAATGTCAATTGGAGTGTGTCTTGTGCTCTCTGGCTCTGTTTCAACTCTCCCTCTCTCTCTTTCTCTCTTTCTCTCGCGCCGCCGTTCACTCACGCTTACACACAAGGATGCGACTGCGTGTGCGCGCACAAGCAAACACATTCAGAGCCCTCTATCCTCCTCTCACAAACAAACACAAACGCATCAAGAGCTCCTATTTCTCCACCGCAAACAGCCAGACTCCTCCGGTGGATGTCTACGGTACAGAGCAGACGCGGGCCCATGAAAAATGCATGTCCCTTTGCGTGTTTCATAAGAAACACTCATCGGGATTCTATTCCCATCCCAGCAGAGATACCACACAGGAATATCAATTACACCAGCAATTTGGGTGGCAGTGTAGGCAGGAATGGTTGCTGAACGAGAGTGTGGGATCCACAGTGTCATCTTAATGAGAGGGTCAATGTCGGCAGAAGCTCTCCGGGCAGCATTCCTAGTGCAGATTATAAAATACACGTTGCCCTGAATGTGATAGAAATGCTGTTGAGTATGATGGGGGAATCCTGATGGGGCGGCAAGCCAACGAGGCACTGGAAAATAAATAACCTGGACCAACAGCTGACCTGTGAGATGCCTGTGGGTTAGTAATTGTGGAGGGTGGGTCTGCACAGTGAGCTGATTTAAAACTAACAAGAGCTCCAGGGTTACCGATTTCTTTCAAAGTGCTGTCATCGAAATCAGTTAACACCGGTGGTTTCTTCATATCTCTATAATCCTTTGGTTTTAACCTTGTAAAATTACAAAGCTCTTAATCCCAAACTAGCAGGATATCACTCTTTGGGGGCAAAACCATTGATTCAATGAACTCATCTCTTTAACGCTTAAGTTGTCTTGACATTGATGGCTGTGAAGATGTCATGTTTTCAATTTATGATTACTACAGCCATAAAATATCACAACACTGATATTATCTCAACATTTATGGAAAACTAGGGGATGAAAACAACACAAATCTGTCAGATTTGACTCATCGCCACAAGAGACGTCACCAGCCCTGTAATGGAAACTTAGTTAAAGAAGATACTTCCATAAAAACATTGGTAGTGATGCTTTTTATTTTGATACTTTAAAGGTCTTGCAGTAAGGTTGCATCATATCCTGTATTTTAAAACTATGCTTTTACTTTGAAAGCTAATCCATGCTGTTTCTGGTAGATGATAAGTGACAGAACCAAAGGAGAACAAGAAAAATAGTTTGAAAATATTAATTTTACCCCGACAAGGAACAAGGACTTTATTGATAGTATTTTATTTATTTCATTTTCTGAATCCATGATGAATCTTTGTATATCAGTTAAAATGAATTTTGAAAAGAGTAGACTTCATACTTTAGATTTAAAAATGTTCATCCATTTTTCAGACAGCAGCTACAGCTAAATCACTGGCAGCTGCCCCTGCTTCTTCTCTGTCTTCCTCGGCATGAAGATACCACTACTACCCCCACTAAGAACTTATTACTTGCATATTATCTGTTCTGTTGTGGACTCAGCTGACCTGAGGGATCTTTGGTGTGTTTTTATCACAGAGTTAAATTCACTTTTTGGTTTGTGGTGGAGGGCAGTGTGACGTCAGTCCTGCAGCTCCATGAGCCAGATCACTCCTGGGCATGTCTGGCTTCACCAGCCCAACATGTCAGCTCACATTAAAGATGTATTTTGGCTTTATTTTTCACAACGGGAGGGTTTGCAGGCTCACTGTCATTATTAATACACAGACAGAGTTTGGAACGTCTCAGATCATCGAAACTTTTAGAAAATGTTTTTTTTTAAAGTTGGGAGAAAAAAATACCAGATAGTGTTTACACTTGTTTACACAGGGCCTGTATGCTGGGGGTGTTGTTTTTCACTGGCATGAATTTCATGTTGATTTTTTTTCCCCCATTCGTTTACTTATGACAGCTGATCAAAAAAACAAACATACATGTGTAAAAAAAATAGCTACATCTAAAGGGAAAACTGCATTTTTTTAAAAATAAGCACATTGAACATCCAGTTTATGGAGATAACCTTGAAACATGAGAAGTTTTTAAATACCTTTTTCTATTATTGTTGGTAAAGTCATTACTTAAAAAAAACAGCAAACTACCCTTTTCAGAGAAAATTTCTTAACTTTTTTTCTTTGTTAGCAATTTGTCATACAAAACTCTTCCTGCCAAAAGTTAAACTAAAAGATTTCTGATATTTTCAGCCCAGGCCTTGATTTCTTATTTATTTCACCACTATCTAGATCAATCCTGATCAAACTTTCATGAGTCTTGCTGTAGAGCTACAGTCTCCTCAGCAAGCAGGCAGAGGGAATCTCTGCTGTAAACCAGAGGAGGCGAACATTTCTCCCTCAATTTCAAGGCTTGTATGCTCTTTTCAGCACCCAAATTAAACAGGTCCTTTAAGAATCCAGACCAAAGCACGCTGAAAATACTGTATGAAGCTTTGTGCAGTTTGCTCTAACACATGTCAATCTGTGTCTTTTTATAGGAGAATCCTTACATGTGCAACAATGAATGTGATGCCACCACCGAGGAGCTGGCTCATCCCCCAGAGCTGATGTTTGACTTCGAAGGTCGAAACCCCACAACTTTTTGGCAGTCCACCTCTTGGAAGAAATACCCAAAGCCCCTCCAGGTCAACATCACTCTGTCCTGGAACAAAACCATCGAGCTGACTGATGACATTGTCCTGACTTTTGAATCAGGGCGACCAGAGCAGATGGTCCTGGAAAAGTCACTCGACTATGGACGGACCTGGACCCCGTATCAGTTCTACGCCACCGACTGCCTGGACGCTTTCACCATGGAGCCCAAGACGGTGAATGACCTCACCCAGCGTACCCTGCTGGATATCATCTGCACCGAGGACTACTCCAGAGGCTACGTGTGGAAGAACGACAAGACGGTACGTTTTGAGATAAAGGACCGCTTTGCACTGTTTGCCGGGCCTCGGCTACACAACATGGCCTCGCTGTACGGTCAGCTGGATACCACCAAGAACCTGAGGGACTTCTTCACCATCACTGATCTGAGGATTAGGCTGCTGAAGCCAGCCACTGGAGCCACCATGGTGGATGAGAATAACCTGTCCAGATACTTCTACGCAATCTCGGACATCAAGGTGCAGGGCAGGTAAGACACATTAAGGTGTTTGCTTTGGTTTTAAACAATATTTGAAGTTTGGGTATTGTGGCAACATAGACCGCCTTGAGGAGAACATCCAGGTAGATGCTGCTTCAAATTCTCAGCCTTGTTTGGTGTACCTGGATTACCAACAAATGATTTCAATCATCATAAAAAAGACAAATGTTGGTGAGGAATGGCCAACATTTCTCTTTTTAAGTCTGTAACTCTTTTTACTCAATGATAAATCACAACGCCAGGAATGCTTTTACCAGAGCTCAAATTTTCTTCTGTCTCATTGTCTGGTCTCTCTACACCGACTTCATCATTCATCCTGCAATTTGCCATTTTGCTTACCCTTGTGACTTTTGCACCAGCAGAGCATTCTGTGCTCTGAAGATTATAGAAAACATCATAGATGGCAAAAAGAAAAATCAGGCATCATTGACTTTCTCATGGGTCAAAACATTCATATTTGGGCTGAGGGGTCCCATTACGATACGATACAATACAATACGATACGATGGCTTTCGAGTACTGTGGTAACCAGAGAAACCAAGGTAAATATGATACAATACGATACGATACGATACAATACAATACCACAAAGTCAATTATTTCCTTTAAGCAAACTAGTCTTAGACTCAAGTTCACATGCCCACCAATAGTTGTTGCAGATGTGCATATGCAGAACTTGAGTCCCAAACCATTGTGTAAATAGTGAAAAAGGGGCAAATATGGTCTTGTAAGATCCAACAGCTCTTCAATTTCCATTCTCGACAATTAAACCACACAGTTTCTTGCCCTACCCATTTCAGTTTGCACAACAAAATCCATCAAAGAAGCAACAAAATGAAAAACAAGTCACCACTAAGTTCCCGGAAAAGCTAAGCCCCACAGTTCAAATATGAATGAAAGTGTTTGAACACGTTTTGATAAGAGCACTTTATGAGTAATTACTACTTGTCAAGTTTTTCACGTTCAAAGCGAAGGACCTTCAACGCCTACCTTCCTTTAACCCAAGTCCTGCATAATTTCACTTTTAAAGGTTTACAAGGGCAAAGTGTTTCATAGCCTGGAATAAGTTCAGCCCAGCACAAAACTCAGCTACTAAAATGAGTGTGAATCAGGAAAAAAAAGAAAAAAGCAGGCAGCCGGAGCAGATACTGAACTCTACTCTCCTAAATTACTTATTATAACCCTAACTTGACAAGGACAGAGGGTTGAGCTTGCCTCCTGTGAGCCGTAGCGAGGAGAAGAGTTTTAATGCATGTCTTTCTACATTTTTTATGGCAGACACACATCAAGACTTCACGGACGTCTCATTATCGCATAATATATGAAGCCTATTACTGGGTCAGGTAGCTCATAATTTGGATAAATGTTTTGCTTTAGAACATTCTAGTCAGTACAGCTGAGTAACAGTGTTGAACTTTTCTTTGTATTACTTTCAATGAATCTAAACATTTTTACATCACCGCTGGACTTTTTTAGAGTTAGACGACAAATCTCTTTGTTCTCAAATATAAACTTTCCTGCTGTATTTCATCCACACGTCACCATTTACAATTTTTGTCAGTGGAAAACGTTTTTCTCTGCAATAGAGTAGTTTTAGCAAAGTTACACTGAAAGAAACTTTGGATGTACTTTATGGAGGTTGGTGCATTTTTCTGTAGAGGGGATGTACGAAATCCAAAATATACATATTCTGTCGTAGGTGTAACAACGGGTGTTACAGTATTGTACGAACATTCAATAATACATAAAGCATTTATCTACATTTGCTGAGTTCAATGAGCAAAGTTTTCCCTATGTCATGTTTTGTCGCTTTTTCCGAGATGTGCTTTTGCACCTATTTGAACCCATGCTTGGTCTGATCCTGATGTTTGACGAAGAGGGCGGGGCACTGAAATCAAACGTTACTACACTTCATTCCAGTAGTCAAACCTTCTGAGAAAGCCAGCTCCTTAAATAACTACCAAGTAAAATGTCTCTCTGTGTCTTTTGAATGCTGTTAATTTGATGTCCAGCTGCAACTGACCAGATCCAAGCTCTCTGCCTCTCAGCTCTTCCTGCAAAGATCTCCTCTCAAACTGCATTATTTTCAGTTGCTTAAAGGAGTTTTCTTTCTGCATATCGTAAATCTCTCTTTGTGTATCCTACCACGTAACATGAATAACAGTGACTCTTGCTCATTGTATTTTCATTAAAGAGTGGTAGCTCCTTGCTGCCACCTGCTGGCTGGTGGTGTATAAAGTATTAGGAACAATTAAGTGCATTCTGAGTAGCTCCTATTTCTTATATCAAATTGGAGCAAATGCATGCTTGAAACCAAAGACTCTTTAAAAAGACTATTTTAGATTAATTTTTAAATATCTGATGTAGTTCTAGTCCACCGTGGAGCGTGGTTGGGCTGCACCCTAGCACCCTCTAAAGACCAGCTGCCATTGGATGCATTGATCAGCGTAAAGCATGTGCAGACCCAGAGGCTTCGGAGTCAGGACCACGGTTCTGAGACCAAAATTTAAAAGCTTTTGTAGTTTGACACAACACCACTTAGTGCACTGGATCACCAAAGACCACATTTTATGGACATAAAGGATGGCGAAGATTAAGTAATAAATGTCACAACAACACCAGGGTCCCAGAGATGGGGTCCCAGAATTACAGCCCTGGAACTGCAGCCTCTGGCAATGCAGACACATAATATTTGGAATAGTCAGCTGCCAACATGGATAGACAGCAGAGAGTAGTTTTTTGAGGTTTAGTGGAGTATACAGTTCAGTCAAAGCCATAGCTTAGGCAGAATTTAGCCTCAAGTCAAATCTGCTGTCAGCAGAGTTGAGCTCAGTAACAGAATCAGGCCGGAGTCTCGGTACAGCAGGAGACAGAGCTTGTATAATGATTTATGTGAGGCTGATTTTAAAGTTAGTTTCGTGTTTCATGGATCATAACATAAAGATTCATGGTTGAAGGTAAAATGCCCTCAATTTCAGGTTTCTAGAGACTTAAAAAAGAGGCATTTTTAGTGGCTGATTATAATTACACAACTTGTGCAAGTGCCAGCCTCCATGCCATGCTGCCTTTACATGCTGACTAACTGATTACAGCAGCTGGAAAGAGAGACTGTTTTTAAACAGAAGTCTGGTTTACTGTTTAGCACCTTTATTTAAAGAGACAAATAAAATAAATATAGCTGTAGTGACCTAAGAAAGAATATACTTTTGTTTTTTGTACATTTCACTGTATTAACACATATTTATGGGCTGTGCAGCTTTCTTACTCTACTTGATCAGCAGAAATGCATGGTGGTAGAGAACAGGCTAAACTATCCAACCAAAGTGAAGTAAAATATTACTTAAGTAAACATGTTAAGAAAGTGCATTGCTGTTTTGCAGATATAATAGTGAAAACCTAAACACCAATGTCAGTTGTCTGATTTGATTTGTTTGAAGAGAGAAAATAGTTTGATTTAAAGAATTATGGTCACTTCATACTGGTGAAAAACTAGACTATGATGCTCCAGGTGTTGAATTTAAATTAGACTGAAACAATCGAGGGCAAAGAGAGACTTAAACGCGACTAAAATCAACAGGCATTTAAATTTAAAGACTCAAACTAACCCTAAAATGTCAGGTTCACGGTTTAAACTTTCCGACATTAAAAGCCAGATTTTCTGCACAAAAATAAGAAGGCTTCCTGAGCATATGTCGTTAACACAGCCTGCAATGCTGCAGTGTATAATATTTCCATCAGTGAGTCATCACAATGCCTCTGCGATTTTCAGGGAATGGAAACATTGTGGTTTCATGACGCATGGAAATGGCCCACATGATGGTCGTAAAGCCTCTACAGCTGCTCTCCAAATGGGACCTGTGTTGCTTTCTGCAGTTGGTTTATATGAGGATAACTAGGTTGGTAATGACCCATCAGATGGGCCCTGGGAGATTTGAAACAGTTAGTCCCTAATTAGGATTCAGTCGACTTCAATGGCAGATTAGAACCATTAGCACGCTGGCTAATTGGTAGGAGACTAATCTTGTAATTAAGAGCATTTGCAGCTGATTAAATGGTAATCATCAGAGACACATCAGTGAAACATGGAGACATGCAGCAATGCCGGGCGGTGCTTCCAAATTTAGCCTCACCCTGTTTAACAGTGGGTAGATTTATGCTTTAATCTAGGAGGTTTCCTTTTCCAGCGAGCTACAATAAGCTAAGATATTTCTAGTATGTTTTAATCATCTTTGACTGCCGCTGGCAAAATATGAACAACTCAGTCATCGAGCGTGTGCTGTCACAACTGGCAAGGATTCTGACAACACTTCATTATGTTTGATGGCTTTGATCACATGCCACAACAAGTTTCATAACGGTGCCGTGATATTCCCAATACAGTCTTTTCACAGACGTACACATGTTCTGCAGAGAGACACACTCCTCTGGTATTCACACTTATACTGTAAACATGAATTGATGGGCTCTAAATTGCGTGGCCTGGTCCCCTGCACAGAAAAGCATCTCCCACCAATATCTTATTTTGCCATTCATTAGAAAGAGAAGCAAAAGGTTGGATGGCGGGGAAATAAGCTATTTTGCCCAATTTTCCATCCTGCCCCTGGGCATCAAATTCAATTTTCCACCAAAAGTTTGCAGTGAGAAAGAAAAGAAAATAAACATACGATTTCTGTCTAGAGGTGGATCAGTAACTCACTTGAAAGAGGGTGATGGAGGCAGGTGGGGAGAGACTGATTAGAGTTCCCAGCAGCCTCAGCAGCCTCCTGGCTACAACCAAATGTGAAACCCTTATCACACAATGGCCATCCTGTCCGAGAATTCCCAGAATGCTCCACAAACGCTGATAAACTTTCACTCGTACACAGCCAAATATTTGCAACGGTAACCTGCGGATACGGTCCTGATTGTCAGAGCTGTGGATGAATGGATATTGGCATGCGCTAGAAACAGCAAATTATGTTTTCACAATGAACTAAGGACGGTTTTGCCAAAATGAAGGACATAAGTTTTCTGTGGAGAGTTCCCGGGTATGGCTTCGAAAGATAAAGATATACGAACAACGTTGAGGATAACAGGAAAAAAAATCAACCATTTCACAATTAAAACACAACTGCCAGGAAGTTGTCGGATAAAGTGAGTCAACCACTATTCAAAAGCAGCCTTGGTTTACCTTCTCCCTTGCAAAGAGTCAAAGTGAGTGATACGCTTAACCATTAAAACCAAGAAGGACGAGATTATAATGAAGAACCTAACTAGTACGGGACATTAAATGCACCACGTTTGTCCACAGGGGGCGCCAAACTACATGAAACTCCTTTAACGGATATTTCAGGTGTTTGAGGGGGAGTTGTATGAGTTACATGTCAAAAGAAAGAGTACTAGCCACGATTGAGGGAAGTCAGTTTTGCCACTTTAAGGAGAAACTTCTGCGATAACCAGCAGGCTAGCTATGCCAACAGTTTTCTGCAGACAGGGTCAAGTGTACCATATAATTTTGCTTGTTTGTAGAAGTCCAAGCCCAAGCATTCACTTTTATGTTGCACTATTTATGGATGCAATTCATATATGCTCCGAGTCTACTTTTGTACCGAACGCCTGTTTGTCACTGACTTTCTTCAGGACATTCAGGAGTTAAATCAGAAAACCAGAGTAAGTGTTTTGCTCTCATTGGTTTTTATTGCATAATGAAATAGAGCCATCGTCCACACAATATGCTAACCTTATCAAAATGCATCGTGTTAGCTGTTTAGGGGAAGACTCCGCTGAAATACAAAATTCCGAAGCCATCGCCGCGTCCGCTGGGTAATCTCAAGCATTTGGTTCTTATCATTATGCAAAACAGAGATGCAAAAGTGTCAGAAGAAGTGACTCGTACACTGCTGCAGGCAGAAAAGCAGGTATATGTGCACTGTGTCCATAAGTGGTGGAAAAACAAATGGGCCCTCTGATGGTTAAGAGCTGGAAAAATCCTCTGAAGAGTGTACACTTAGATTGATGTTGGACTTCATCCTGTCCGTTAGCATAGCTAGCCCGCTGGTTCTCCCAGCAGTTCCTCATTAAAGAGGCAGAACTGATCAGGTATGCTACAGAAAAACAAATCAAATGTGTGCGTACTAACTCTGTCGTCCATCCAACTGTGTTTTTTCCTGATGTAATTTAAATACTGATACCGTTAATACGCTTTCACAAATTGGTAAACAAGGGTTCCCTGCTATTAACACATTGATATAACAGTAAAACAAAATTAATTAAAGATACAGCTGCTCCAGTTTTGAAATACAGAGTATCTGCTAATACTGAGCAACAATTTCATACCTGCATTTGCCTAGATGAATCGAGCTGCACAGAATTTTTCTCAAAATTAACTTAAATGTCTCCAGTTTACTGTATTATTGTGAAACTCATACAGAATCAAAAGACTGTCTGACCTTGGGATGCTTCGCTCTGTGAGGCGCACCTGAATACTTGCTGATGATGCAGTCACAGATCCAACCTCCTCTTGTAGGAGCTCATTACAGCTCCGGCACAGGCAGCTCCTTCCTGTGTTTAGACTTGGTATCTTTACTTTACTTTATTTTTTTAGTTTCATAGCATGCTGCGATTTTGATGGCACTAAACACAGCTCTACTGCTAATACCTCACAGCACAAACGTCATATATATTGCACATGGCTGCTGAAGTTTTTTGTTTTAGTTGAGAATATTTTCACTCTGATGACTTTTTAGCCACAGGGCTGCTAATGCTTAGTTGCACATGGGATTGTATCCTCCTGCATATTTTACTCACTTTATGACAGCTGACATAAATGATCACAGTGATATTATCAGCTCAAATTGAACATCGTTTATCTGTTAAAAAAAAAAATTTGTTAGCTCCAATCCAATGGATAAGATTGAGATATCCGCAGATTAGCGTTTAGCATTTCTATGCTACTGTACCCTTGTTCCTTTAACCATGACATTTGCTAATATTTACAGAAGAAAGGCTCAAAGTAGCAAGATATCAAACACTGGATTCAAGATAGATTTTGCAGAATTGTCCATAAAGAAAATACCGTCTGAAAAGTTGGCCACAACCTATACACTGGTGCAAATCAGAGACAGCTCATCTGTTGAATTCAACTATTTCCAAGTGTGTTCTAACAGGCTGATGGGAACTTCTTTACATTTTAATAGCAATCATATTCTCTTCTATGAACTTTAAATGAGGACTTCGGGCAAACATCTTCTTTTGGGGCCGTCAAATAACACAATAGCACAATCTAAATAGTTTCCCTTCTGGGAGCTCCTAAAATCAAACAAATGCGAATTATATTCCAGACTTTGTGTTCAGAGGTTGCAGAGCTTTAGAGATTAGAGATTCAGTGACGTCACATGTCAGTCCCTGAAGTAGAGTTTTAAAGCCTATCATAGGTAGTCCTCATGTTGGAAATGCTTGCTCAGACCATCTTTTGGTTGAGTTAGCTCGAGGCAAAGAGGTGGAGTTGAAACGGGTCTCTAGCCACATCGCCGACAGCGACAGTGTGCCTGTCAGTCAGTCACGGACCCTCATAATGCAAAACTCCCATCATTAATATCTTCAAAACTAATGACTGATAAATAATTCATCCTCTCCTCCGCACAGAGTGTGGATAGAGAAATGAGCCATTCAGACCAAATGCATTTATGGTCTGTTGCCTGTAAGATCTTGAGCTCCAATTTTTTTCATGACCACATGAAAACCTTTATACCATCAGCAGGTGACAGCAAATCCCAAAACCAGACTCGCCAATAAACATTTACGAGTTTCTCAGGGGGATAAATGTGTGTAAAAGATCCAGAGCAGATTTTTCTTCGATAATCTGGGATGTTTTCACAGAGCTCACGTCATAAAACTGGCTTCTCAAGGCTAAGAATTACAGGGAACATTGACAAAAGGTAGAAACCATTCTGTGCAGCCGTTCCAACTGATCAGAGAGTGATGTTAAAGCTATAAGGGAAAGGTTGCGAAAGGGTTATTTCTCTCACTCTTCCTGAGAACAGCGCCAGCGTGTGTGGCGGAGCTCCCTCTGCTATTGATTTCTAATGTTATTCCACATCAACGGAAAACAAAAACCTTGAACCGTGCAGGCTGTCCCACCTTTCACGTCTCGCTCTCCATCGTTCCTCACTTATTGATCAGATGTCTGCTCGTTAATTAAGACATGACCGCTGCCGGCCGGCTGCACGGTCAGAGCTGCACATCTACAGGGCTGCAGCGGGGCCTGGGAATCAGAGGCAGCTAATCCATAAGTGCTAATGTGCTATTTCTCTCATCCCCCATGTCATTCTCAATTTTTCACTAACCTTTTCTCTCCGGTTTTCCTTTTTCCTACCTGCGCAAGTCACTTCTCCTTCTTTTCTTTCTCTCCTTTAATCCATATGCAACAAATAAATTTTTCAGCAGGGCCACGGTTTTTATATCGCAAATAACTCCCAAAAGATATTGTGAATCAGATGTCTATGTAAAAGAAAAACATCATAGAAGATGTGCAATATGAGAAAATTGAGGTGTTTTATTCATGTATTCAATCACTTTATTCTTTCATCTTGAAGTAGGGGACTGAAAGTTTGCTGAATATCAAATATATGATGCATTTGAGTCCGACCTGTTGGTTATTACCACACTGCAGATACCATCTAGTAGTTCTCTAGTAGACCTGCAGATGTAATCTTGTGTTCAAACCAACTGCAATTACAATCAATCACCCCAGTAAAGAACATGAAAAGTCCGGTTAAACGCAAGTTCTTGTCAAGCGATGTAAATGACTCAAACAAGGCAGCGTGAGTAGTGTGAATTCTGGAAATCATACTTAAAAATGGCAGAAATACGCCTCATGTTGAACGGGGAAATAGAAAATCAGAAACCATGTCTATAAAGAGCAGTCCCTAATCTTCCAACCACTCAAAAGGCTTTTACGTCACTTGTCACATTTATCCATTCACACCATATTCAAACGTCGATGGCAGAGGCTGCTATGTGGAGTTTTAACTCGTCACATCCAATCACATACTGATGGGCAGAGGCAGCAGGGTCAGGTTAGGGTTAAATGCCATACAGAGGACATTTACAGACCCTCCCGACCTTCGGATAGAGAAATCGCTTGTAATGCGTAGTATCCAAATTCTCAGTTGTGCATTATAACAATAAGAAGACCGGAACCAGTTAATTCTGATATTTCTTGCTGAAAAATATCAATAGATTCAGTCCAAAATGCACTTGAAATTAAAAGGCTCTAGGACTGCATGGAGGCTGTGGACATAGTGTCCTAGATAGCTTGGGTTAAATTCTAACAAGACTCTTTACCTCATGTTGTTCCCCTCTGGTTTTCCCAGTTTCCCCCTTTGTCCTCTCAACAAAGGTATAAAAACTTCTAAAGTTTAGGAGTGTGAAATTATACTCTAAACTATTTGTAAATGTAGCTAGTCATACTGGCATTTGTTATTCTGTTGAATTTATTTTTAAATAAAAATATCAAACTAATATTGCTAAAGCATAAGCATTATTAGACATTGATCAGTATGTGATGATTAGATAATGACATATATTCATGTCCTCTGTATTTGGGCTCTAACTGTGTGTGAGGCCCTTAAGAAACACGCTGAGCTGCTGAAGGAGCCGCCAGTCCTTCACCCAGGAGGACTGACAGCTTCTCCTCAGGGGGTAAGGTTAGGAAATTTGGGGTTTTGACGGGTTAACTTTTTGATATGCAGCCCTCCTGGTGAGGAGGACTTTTCACAGAGACGGAGGAGGACCATCTCTGTTTCTGTATCCCCTAATGAACAGTGAGCACAGACCTGTTCTTCTCCGGGCAGACGTGTTTGGCTAGGCGTTAGTGTTTGTACTGAAAAGTTTTAACTCTTAAGATTGAGTTCTGCGTCAAGTTAAAAGTTACAACATTTGATTTTCATTTAATTATGTCTCTTAGACACTTGTGGTCCTCAAAATAAAACATTTATTTTTATAATTAAGCGCAAGCAACTCAAATCCCAGTGAAATGTCTCCTTTGTAACACATTAGGAAGTTACAATATCTAATGTTAACATGACTGCAGGCTGGTGAAAATGAAAAAAGCCAGGATGTTTCACTCCCCGGCGACTCTCTATGCCGTTAGATGTTAAACAAAAGCAAATTTTGAGACAAAAAGAACGTATTTTATCCCAAACCTTCCCTCTGAGGTATACACAAGAGTTATTCAAAGACAATTTGGGTTCAAGGGAATCGTAATTTGAGATAAGGGATGAAACATTATAGTGTTATTATATGCTCCCCAATGTTCCCCTCCAGATATAGACAAACTCTGTATCTCCCTCTCCCAGTGGGAATCCAGAGCTCATAAAAGTAGCGTCTCACACTCTTCAACTGTATCTTGCACTTAAAAAGAGTCTAAATTTGTAACTCCTCCACAGTGCATTCACATGACAGGCATTGCACCCCGCTGAACTACACAGAGAAGATCTAAACCCTGGAGGATATCTACAGTACGTGCTTTCCAATGGTTGCATATCTAAATTCAGGCAAAAGGAGTGTAAGGGTATTGCACCATATAACCTCCTGAATAATGTGCCAGGAAGTTTTTCTCCTTTATTTACACAACTTACTTTTAGATATCCGTCTTTCCAGCCCATCTTCTCTGACTTTGTCTCTTTTCTTTTGTAATTTTAAAGGGCAAAAAAAAAATGCATCAAAAAGAAGTAAATCAATGTTTCTCTGAGGTTTGTGAGTGAAGTTTGTTGTTGTTCAATAGCTCGGTGATGTTTGGTTCACTTGGTGGGAAAGATTTCATGATTTCTGCATGTTGCAAAGAACAGGTTTCAAAAGCAACACCACTCACAATCATTTTTCAGATTCCTTAAGTGCACTCACGCCAACACAAGGGAATTGAAATGCATTTTTTATAGCAATGGCTGATCGCCTTGTTTTGTACAGTCCTACCTTTAGCATGCACTTTCAAAGTCTGACTTCAAAGTTTTGTTTTTGTGCTACCACCCCCAACAAAACGTGGAGGTTGCAGCCCTCTCTAACAGCCCACAGATCTGCATCAGTGAACAGCAGTGAAGATGGGTCGCCATTAACATACTAAATGTTTTCCACCTTCTGTGGCCTCTGTTGTCATGGGGAAAAAAAGGGTTTTTAACCCACATCCACACTCATGGTTGAGCAATTTCAGTGCGTCTACATTTTAGGACATCTGCTACCTCAGATGGCTGATTTTTTCATGTCTGGTGAACATTGTGTCACAGCCCGTCGTTCATTGCCAAAGTTCATTTGTTGTTCCACTATTGCATTTTGAATCATGCACAGGCTGTTGAACACTTTATAGTTTTGTTAAAAAAGACATTAGAGAGCTTTAGAATAATCATTTACCTTTTTAAAACCTCTGCTGGAAATGAAAATGTTTCCCATACTGGCTCCTTGAAAGAAACTAAACTGAAATTGTTTTGAGCTTTAAAGCAAGACGATTGCTCGGTTTAAAGTTTGGCAAAAGCTTCGAAGAAAGGTTGTAGGTGTTGTTGAAATTTGTCAAGTCAAAAACAAGGATATAGCTATTTCAAAATTTAGTTTTTGCCAACAACTAAGTGTGTAGCTACTGTTTAATTTGTTTTTATCCAACAAGCAAGGTGGTAGCTATTTTATTTGTGTTATTTTTTATATTTACCATTTACTACTACTAGTATATATGGATGGTAGGAAGGCGTCCATGATGAACATGTGTATAAAAGGCTCAGAAATTTGGCAAGACTGTTTGGGCCCACTACCTTCTTAAGCTGCTTTCAACATGCAGAGAAACTTTCATTATTCACCTTTTCATAAGACCAGCCGAAAAAATAAACTGATGGTTTTTTGGTTGTTTTGTTTGTTGTGCTGGGCTTGATTTGATGGTAACTGTCTTTATTAAAATATTAACCATTGATATTGAGCCAAAAAAAGCAAAAGCAAACAGAAATACTGTGAGTTCATAGCTGAGGTCCTGAAAGCTGTTTGCAGCATGTTATAGAACCGAGGATAGACGAAGAAGACGCAGCAGACTGCCTGTGAACTAGCATAAAGGAGCTCTGTAAGAGTTGACTCAGCACTTTTTAAAACTGAAATTTCATGACTTTTTGTAAATCCAAATGTAACGTTAGAGCTTCATCCAACATTTTTATTTTCTAATCGTTCTTTTCACTGTTCTTACTCAGTTTTGTAACTTTCAATCTACCGAAAGTAGCTTATTCTTCAAAATAAAAGCGTAGTTTTTTTTTATTAAAGCAACCTTAACACAAAACATCGAATTTTTTCAAAATAAAAGCATGGCAAACAATTGTTTCATAAGGCAATATCTTTTTATAAGAAGTTTTAGTTACACAGCCAGTGATGTGGATAAATCATAAGTTTTAACATAATTAGAAACAGATGTAAGTTAATTGTGTTTATATGTAAAATCAAAAGGATTTGAAGAATTTATGAGCATATATATTGCAAAAATATTGTGATAATAATAATAATAAAACTCTTCAACAACAAACTGGATACATTCATGGTGAAACATAAATTACTCTCCAACAGTCAATATGGTTTCAGATCAAATCGGTCAACATCACTAGCAATAATAGTATTTAATATATTTATTGATATTTAAAAAAGCCTTTGATACAATAAATCATGACATATTATTATTAAGAAAACTGGAAAGACTTGTATCAGAGGTGTTGTATTAGATTGGATTAAAAGTTATGTACAGAGGAGAAAACAGTTTGTAAAGCTCAGTGATGTTTGTTCTCAATGTTTGGACATTGTTTGTGGTGTCCCCCAGGGGTCAGTGTTGGGCCCTAAACTCTTTATTATGCATATTAATGATATTTGTAGAGTGTCCGAGGTATTGAAGTTGGTGATTTTTTATTTTCTGTTCTGGGGGGGATGTAAAAAAGCTACTGGAGGAGATTACCATAGAAATGAGTAAAATGAAAGTATGGTTTGACAGAAATAAATTTATTGTGACGATGATTGTGAGTTAAATATCTAGTTTCGTCCAATCAGAATGAAGTATTTCATAGCCGGGTCATGATAAGAACTTTGAGGTCTTGAGTCTGTTAATTATTTTGATAAATTAAGACGCTTAATTAGACCCTTGATCAAGTCCATAGTTGCCTTCCCAGTGCTGGTCTGGAAACCTCTCTGTTGCTCCTTTCAATAACAACACTACAATGGTAGCCTACACAGAATAATTGCATGAGCCAACACGTACTGCACACAGATCTTTATCTTCATGTTCAAAACAAGCACAAACAAACTCTCTGGCCCTTATCCAGCCTCTCACATACACCAAACACACAAACACATGCTACCGATCCTCCTTGCCGTGCCCTGTGAACCATGACAGCTGTAGCCGGCTTGATTGACAGAGTTTGAAAGTCAGGTTCAAGAGCAGGTTCACACGACCCTCAGCGTTACCCCGCTACCAACGCCTGCCTCTCAGCCGGCTCTGCCAAACGCCTGCTCACTTATCTTCCACCAGATGCCTGTCACATGGTGCGATGTTTCCTGCCAGTCATCTCCCGGTCTCGGGCGTTTAATTAGAGCTCATTAAAGGCCCCGGCTTTCTTTGTAAATAATATATGGAGGGAAAGTACATCAACATAAGCTGCCTCTGGTGGGTCGGCGGCTATGAATAGTGAAATATTCAACATGTCCTTTTGCTGCACTTATTGTATGATCAAGCGTCGGTGGTAGTGGAGCAGACAGGGTTGTTGTGGCTCTGTGGGTTCAGAGGGTTGTGTCATGAGGCAGGATTTGTGGCGCACAGGCCCCGGAGAGCTAAGCGAGCGTGTTTAAAGACTTTTTTGTGGTTTTGATCGGAAACATATCCGCGACTTCTTGTACTTTTGTATCAAAGTAAGCATTGTTCCTGCTTTGAATGATGTTTTGATTCATTTTGATGTGTTGCATAAGCTTCACACTGCTTCAGCTGTGAGTAAAGGTTCAAACCTGCCAAACACAACAGGAATTTATGCGAGCCACATGCTAATTGAATAAAATACACAAGCATAATTATAGTCAGATCTATTATTCGCTTGTAAAACTAGAGTTAAGTTCCCTATATGAGCATAAATTGGCAAATAAAGCAGATCCTGGTGATGAAGCCGTCACATTTTTTGCCTTTATTTGTACACAGCGATTAGTTTTCTCAGCTTTTGCATCTGCAGCTGGGTTTTGTAACATTTTTCTAGTTTTATTATTTGCTCTGAGTCTATAAAATACATCCATGTGTGATTGGTTGTATGCTGCAAACTCTGAGCTTACTTATAATACACCATGTGTGATTGTTTCAGGTTCAGGCAGCCACACAAGAAATATGTATGTGTTGATTTCTGTACTTGATTACTACAGGCGGAGGTCTGTGCGTTTTCTCATTTTCTAAAAATAGTTGTTTTTATATATATGTACTTTTACCCTTCACACGGTGGTGGCTATGTGTATAAAGTAAGTATCACTTCCCTGCCACATACACACACATAGAGATGTGCATGTTGTACACATAACATGTATCTGGGCTCTGATTTTCATATTAATAAGTCCCACCGTCGTCGATTTCTTCATGACTTCCTCCTTGTCTCGGCAGCTTACATCACATGAATGAGAGGGCCCTCCACCATGAGGGGCCTAGGTGGGACAAGGGGGGTAGACATTACCATACTGTATGCCTACATCAATGCACAACTTCAATAATAGGCCCTGTCATTGAAACAAATCACAGGCTTTCAGTGGCAGTGGCCCAAGCCTCGCAAATTCAAATTTCATTTCGCCTCGCCAGAAAATTGAAGCAGGGGGAATTAACTTGTGATCCGCTCCTAATATTTCTCCAACAATTTGGGGAGCCCTGGCGGGGCTGCTTTATATTTCGATGGGGGGGACGCAAACAATTTGCTTGAGATGTATTACATTACCACCCCAAAGAATGACAAAATTGGCCACAGCACAGAGCGACGAAAACAAGCCTAATCGGACTCTTCAATTTCACGGTGACACAGCCTGGTGTAATGAGGTGACTGTGTGACTCTTCCCTCTTTCTGCTAGAAAAACTTCAGTGCTGTACCTTATAGAAAAAGAGTAAATGAAGAGTAATGCTACCAGCACCCATTGTTTATCCAGTATTTTAATTCTTTTTAATGTTATTTTGAAAAATCTAGTCCTGACTCAATTAACAATATCCTTGTTTTTATATTAGACACCACTGAGGTTTTTTTCATTGCAGGCGTTGAAGAGTTTGTGTCATCCAGTAGGTTGTTAAATTTATAGTCATATAATCATATATTGTCTGTTTATTGATTACTTTTTAAATGCTTTTATCTGGTCTGCTCTTGTATTTCAGTGTTGATTTTTTTTTTTTTATGTCTATGTAAAGCACTTTGGTCAACTTGGTCGTTTTTAAATTTAAAATTGTATGGTATTGTATTTTCTGAAGACAATAATGGCTGGTATTTCAGCTTCATCTTTGTTTAGTTAGGAGTAACGCTGTCTTTCCAGTGACTCTGTCCTCTTAAACTCAAAAATACAGAGTTTGTGGTCGAAAAATTCTCAGAGTTAGTGTGCCAATCAAATCCCTAAAAGCAATAATGTTGAATAATTAAGCCACTTCCAAACTGCAGTTCCTCAAGCGTCCACTGGGGTCTAGCTTTGTCAGCCAAGGGAGCCTGGTCTGAGCCCATTTCAAGAGGTAACACTACCTTGCTTCTTTATTTATGACAACGGTTTAGGGGATTATTTCCTTCAAAATCATGCATTTCCATTATATTGGGGCTTAAAGTAGTGTATGATTACACTGAAATAAAGCCATGGCTGATCTGGCTGATAGATAGATGTGTTGGAGCTGGTCTCCAGATCTTCCCCCAGATATGTTAGTTTTTGCTAGAAGTTGAGTTTTGTTTATGCTTCTACGTCAAACTTAAACCATATGTACGCCAAATCACTCTGCAATACTCAATCTAAACACTAGTCATATTGCTAGTTTCCAGTCTTGCTATGTTCCTTCCTTGTTTGTGTACAGGAAACCATAGCAACTGAATCCAATTTTAATATATCTGAGTTGAAGCTGATAAATATTGTGCAGCAGTTGATCATGCTGTAATTAAGTAATAATTGTTATTACATAGGGAAAAGGGGAGATATTAGAGGAGACGTACCATACAGCTGCTGAAGAAGAGAACACGGGACAGCGGCGATGCCAGAAGAGTCCACTGCCAAGACCAATCAGAGGGCTTGTGGTCCCACGTCGCATAGATGTGTGGTTATATTTTGAGGAGTTGTGCGTCGGCTGTACACACAAGCTTCTGCGTAGGGTACATAGCAATGTTGACCTATGTTGTAGGCTGCAGGGTAGGTCCAAAACACAAGAGTAAACAAGGCTTTAGTAGGAGTCAGCATTTTCAATAGCAACCACCATCTATGAGTTTTGTAACGTCTATTCAGAAACCCATGTGTGACATAAATCGAACATGTTTTAAACAGTCTAAAAAAAGGGATTTGTTAAAAAGAACTAAATGAAAAGCAACAAAAACTTACTTCCAAATGTCCAACTGAAAAATCCCAAAGGCAAAAATCCAACAAAACGCACTGGGAAAAAAACAAAAAACGAAAGGACATGAAGGATTCACACAATGACTACGACTGACACAAAAACAATGAAGGGTAGGATTACAGGGTAACGAGCAACAGGTGAGGCAGACAAGACACAGGTGAAACTCATGGGTGATTAACGAGGGAGGGAAAACTAGGGAAGTAACACTATACCAGAAACACAAGGAATCAACTCCTACAAAATAAAACAGGAAACACTGAAAACTAATGTAAAGAATAAAACACAGAACAGGAGGGAAATGGGGAAAATACACAGGAAATGCAGTCAATAAACAAAACCAGGAAAAACTAAATTTACAGAACATTTCATGACAACTTCAGTACTATCAATTAGAGAAACTCTTACTGTTTTTCACCAACAAATCTTGTACATTTGACGCTAATTCATTTCTATGAATGTTCTGCTTGCTTGTTACTTTCACTCTGAGGTGAGCTGAATTGTTAACTTGGATTATTAAACAAATTTAACTCATTAAACATCCAACAGCCTCTCTTCTTCTCTTCAGATGTTACGCAGGTAGTTCTGGTCTGTCTAGGTAACACATTGAGATTCATCGAAAACTTCACCAAGGCCAAAATTTTTCTCCACAGCCTTGATCCGTCAGAGATCGCTGGTCAGGATGTGTAAAGCTCTCTAAATGTCTTGTCGAAGAAAGTTTCAGTAACCTCAGTATGTATTTATACAGCATGGAGGCACATTACAGGCTCTGACCATGAGCTGCTCGTGTGAAGAAACAGGTAAGATGTAGAGCTGAGGGAGGCCGGTTTGCTCAGTCAGTTTTATAAGTCAGAGTGTCAGTCATGGGTTAAATCTCAGACGGAAAACAAGAAAAAATTGTCTTATTGGATAGTAGTGTTCACTAAATTACATTATCTGGATAAAGCTAGATTGGTACCTTGCAATAGTGCAGTTCATTAGATGGATAAACCAGTAATTCAATAGGTCGGTCAGAGGATCGCTTCCACATAAAGACAGAAAAATAAACTCTGTTAGATCCATGTCAAAAGATCTTTTGTGTCTAAACTTAGTTCAGTTTTATCCGAGCCATTTTTCAAAGCTTGTTTTCTGTTTCTTTAATGCCAGCAGTCTGTGTTCATGTACCCACACAGGTGTTTTCAGTGACTTGTATTGATCTGACCACTGCTGAGGTTAAAGGTATTATGAACGGTCATCAAACTCAGCCAGCAGCTTCTGTTTTCAAGCTGCCATGTAGACTTGTTGAAGCAGGAGAAGCTCTGACATGAGCGAAAAATAAATGATTTTAAGAGAATTTACAGAAACTCTGCAAAGGATCATTTCCATCCACTGCTGTCTGCGATATTTTTTTATGTAGGATGGTAGGGAAAAGTCCCGCCTCCTTCGCCTCTGATTGGCTAGAAAAGCTGGAAACGTCATCACACGCTCAAGCCAAACGCGGGCTGTCCGCTCTATACATCAAACAGAACGTTACAGAACATTATCGCACTTCTGAATCTCCCAACCCTAACCCAACAGACGATGACGTTTCACAGCCATTAGGAATCCTACAAAAAAAATTTTCCTGCTGTCCTTCCAAAACAGGAAGTAGCTGTAAGAGCAGTGGTCAAACAACTGATATACAGATTAGGGCTGTCCCAATACGATATTGATATCAGATATCGGCCCGATATCAGCCGAAAACAAATACTGGATTATATCGGCCTGCATCTAAAATCTCCAAATCAGCACTCCAATACAAGCGGTCCATTCCAGACTCCGCTCCGTCACCACTAGCTAGCAGCACCCGGATCCAGCATGTAGAGCCCACATGATCACAACAACAGTGTGTACTAAGTTACCAACAAAGTAGCAAGAAGTAGGAGTGATGCCGGCTGTGTGGCAGTTTGAAAAAGACATTGCAGTTGAGTGAAAAACTTGTCATGCACAAGTCTGTGCCAATATCGGCTCAATATCGGTATCAGACGAAACTTAAAGCTACAATATCGGTATTGTATCGGAAGTAAAAAAGTTGTATTGGGACACCTCTAATACAGATATTAATTTCAAGTTGTGAAAAAATATGAGTGGCAATGCAGCCTGTGTCATACTGTGTCTTCAAAATAATTTACTCTATGAAACTAGTTTTCCAGGAAGTCTCTGCAAGGTTTGGCTCGAAAATGAGCAAAAAGTGAAAGTTTCCCGAACCTGTCAGCTGCAGCTCTTCCACTTTGAGGTTCCTCTTTTAACGAGTTCCTTGCTCCCCTCTTGTCTTGAATCAGAGATGCTCGAAGCTGTCACTGTGAAGAAAAGCCGTGTTAGACATACTGAGCCTGTCAACACAGCGCCAAGCAGCCGGGAGAAACCAAGGTGAGGCAGCAGCCAAGAGAAGAAGACTCGGGGCACTGCTGCTGTCTGCTCCGGCCCGTCAACATAACCTAGACCCTGCCTCACCTCGCGTCACTGTACTGATTTGTTCCTTGTTACATTTAGCATGTGCACTCGCAGGCCACCGGTTTGTCCAAATTAAGACTCAAATCTGTGTCACATTATTCTCCAGGTGCAGCACAAATTAGGTTTGGTCCTGTTTTCAACGTGAACAATTAAGAAGGCCATTAAAACCCCCACATCGACTCTTTGCTTGAGATTATTTAGGTGAAATATTTGCTTTTGAATTTATCAAAGCTGCTGAAAAATTTAAATCAGAAGTCTCGACCCTGATACCAAATCAAAGAATGTAAAATTAGTCTTATTTGCTGTCGAAGAAATACAATAATAACGCAGGAATCAGAAAAAATGTTAATAACAATTTGGTCATCTTTCCAAGTGAAGATTTTATGTTGATTGCTTTTTACAGTCTGTCTATCTGTATCCAGGTGAGAATAGTCGCACTGCAGCTACTGGGCTATTTGCACCTGTTGTGAGCATCATCTGCAGGTGATTATTGACTGCCGTGGGCGTTTAGTTTCGGCTGCAGGCGTTGATTGTGGACAGAGGGTGGTTATTGACAGCTGCTGGTGTTCGAATTCTCCTGCAGTTGTGTTCTCAGTACAGCAGCAGTCGAGTGCAGGCTGATGGAGGTCTATTTTCAATGACAGGTGTTAAATGTCAGCAGCATGGTTGATGGTTATCCAGACCTGCAGAGGTTAAGTCTTGGTAGGGAACTGGCTGTGGCTTCAATGAGTCTTTTATTGGCCGCCGTCAAACAGAGAATAAAAAGTTGCTTTTTAGTTGGTTTGAGTCCACAAGTCACATGGGGCGATCATGTGATACTTGCACGTGTAATTTAAGTGCTAATAGCTCTGGTGTAGGGCTGGGCAATATAGAAAACAAGTTTTCATGATTTATTTTTTTCATATCAGTAGATATCGATATATATCACGGTATTAAAAACGAAATTTAACAGTGCTTGTTGGTAGCATGTCTTTTGCATTACAATAAGTTACTGCATCTGTGAGGTCTTTCTGTCTCTTTAACATTTTGTCGTAAGGCGTTGCGCTAGAGAAAGCAGACTAAATGGTCGGCTCTTTCCACTGCACAGGCGCTATGGGCTCCTTGCTGCGCTTGGCGTTTGTAACCTTTTGCATTGCACATGCTCTGCAGCGTGGCACTGCTTCAGGTGGTAAAAAAAGATCTGAGGTATTCCCCGACTTGTACTCTGCGTAATTTGCAGTGCACCTTACTCTGCTTCATGTACGACCTCAAAAAACCAAAATACCTCCTCACAACCGGCATTTTTGTGCCAGCGTTGTCGACGATGTCGTCATCTGTTGAGCCTTCATCTGCATTTCTGCCGAGGGCAGCACTTATTTTCTTTTTTTCTCACCAACTGCTCTTTTGGCTTCAAGTGTTAAAAAAGTTGTTTGCTACTTGGTTCTAATTCAGCACATGATTGGTTCAGCGCAAAGTGGACCAGGAGCAACTCCCCTTTTCATTGGCTATTCATATAGTCTACCAAAGCATGGCAGGATGCCGACTATCTAAAAGCATATTGACCATATTTTATATTGATAATGAGGGAAATTAATTTTCAATATATATCATAATCGTTTTATCAGCCGGCCCTACTCTGGTGCAAATGTCATTGAGGCTTGTTTCAAGCTATATACTCCTGGCTGTGAATAACAATGTTTTTTGCACAACTCAAGTGCAAATCAAGTAACAGCTTAGCTGTGGTTTGGCACCAGCATCCATCTGTTTAAATGCAGCATCCACTGCATTAGGTTTCACAGTTTTCCATTCACCTTCAGTGTGTGAGAGTGAGTAAAGTAATCCAAAATGAGGTTATCCCAAAACCCCAACCAATTAAATCCAAATTACCTTTATAGTTAGATGGCTCAGGGTGTCAGAAAATGATCTTAATTGATTTCTTAATTAAGTTTACCTTAACTGCACACATACTTATTCTTTAGCTTCCACAGACCCACACTCCATCCATAGGATTGTGGGTTTTATCCTTTTTAAGATCATTTCCTCCTCTATCAGGAGAAATGCAGTAGATGGGAAAGACAAATACACAAGCTGATCTTAAGAGTCTCTAGAGGCAGGGACGTTTGTTTGGATAAAGGATAAACACCAAATGCTGTTGTGCTGGAGAAAAGGTCATTAAAACTTGATGAAATGTGTCTTTGTCATGATGCCGGTTCAAAAGGCTGGACATACAGGCCATCTCTTCCCTCTTGTGACCTAAAACTGCAGATAAAAAACTCTCTGATTTCAATATGACAATGCCCGGGGCAAAAGCATTACATGCCAGAGCCCCCCCTGAGTCCACATCCTGTACTCCATCAGCATGCTCCCTACGCCGACTGAGCCCGATGATTCAAATTTTGCTGGTTTTTAATTAAATGGAAGGTCAAATCTCATCGCTCTTTTCTACAGGGAGCTGCTGCTGTCTGCATGGCAGAAGAGCTACACCCCGTCATTAATTTTATGGAGGAGGGACCATAATTGATTAAAAAGTTAAGGACTGTGGGGACTGCGTGGGTAAGAGGCAGTTGCATTAGATGCTATGCATGTAGGATGTTATTCAGTCACATCTATTATGGCTGATATTACACTGAGGCGGCACTTAACCTAAGGAAATAAAGTGATTTTCTTCAAGTGGATGCTCAGCTTTAGTGTTGATGCAGCTGTGGAGATCCTTGTAATTGCATTTAATGATTACTTTCTGGCTTGAATTCAAGGGTTGGCCTGATTATTCAAGGGCTACATAAATGTTGACTTCAGACTTCTGTATATTTATGTATGTGTACAGTTATGACATTAAGACTGGCCTTTTATTCTGGTATTTCTAATGCAGGTAAAAGCAAGAAAGAAAAGACGAGGGTCGAACAACACATTACTTGATAAACTTAACTGATACGTGCGGCTTACACACACAAAAAAGGTATTTTTGCTCTTCCCATGGGTGCATGTTTCCTGAAATCCACATCACTTTAGACCCTATCCACTAACTCTTCTTTGCTGCTTATCGTCCACACAGAGGAGGCTTCAGTTTCCCTTGTTCCCCGCAGTTGTTTATCATCAATGTGAGACGTCACAGCAAGGCCAGGAAGTCAATTAGAATGGATGTATTTCTGACTGTTGCCGTCATTTTTCTATCTCAGGTTCTCGGTGATCGTAGGCATCAGATACCCAACTCCTCCGTCTCAAATGGGAGAAATCTCCTTCGGAAGAACTTTGTAAAAACAAACAAGAGTCACGATGTGAAACCATGAGCTGTTTAAACCCCCTGTAGACGGGTCGAGTATCAGATCCAGTCAATGCCTCTAATCACCCTCGATGTCTGTTTCTAGATCAACCTCCAACCTCCTGAGAAGAAGTCGAGGTCACGAGTTGTAACCTTTCAAAATCAAATATGGAGGGATATATTTAGAGCATGGATGGATATATGACACAAGACTGATATGTGCAGGAATCCAACATTATCTCGTTTTTTTAATGGCAACTTGCTTTGAAAATGTTGCTTTTGTCTCATCCACAAGTTTACAGCAATTTCCAAACAAAAAATTAAGCATAGAGTTAGTTCAGGCAGGCTTACCCCTAATTTCCACCACATCTGGAACGGCTACGAAAAGATCGTGTCCACTGATCGCAGCTGACAGTAATCATTTCAGTTAGTGTGTCACTTTCCACCGGCTTCTTTCCGTTCCACTGCGGACCGCCGGACTCCACAACCGATCGCAATGGTTCTATTTTTGCTCAGATTAACCCATGCTGGAAAGGAAGTCGGGCACAGACACAAAATAAAACATCCGGCTTCTTTTCAAAATAAAACACTCCATGTTTCAGGCAGATCGTATTTCACACCATGCAAACGGGCGGGGACTAACAAGTGAGAGGTTTTTAGAGAGCATTTCACCCTGATGACACCACGGATGAGGAGATGCTGATTCTAAAAGTCTAGAAGTAGATTTGCTCCTCTGGAAGGACGAAATCTACTGCTTACATGATTATGTGGCTGTTTTTATAGAGTCAACTAGTTATCGCGCCACTGCACGTGAATCCACGGGTTCTTGTGAGTTCTCGCGACTCACGCTGTCCGTAATCTACCACGAAATTCGCCTTACAAATGGATCCGTTAGGAATTGGTATACAGCAAAAATCGCTGCTGTTCTGAATCAGAGCCATTCCAGATGCGGTGGAAATTTGGGGTTAGCCAATCATAAACTGATGCTACTGGCAGCCCATAGCAGCTAATTTTTTTGTGCCTAAATTGCCTTTTTTCTGCCGTTTTCATCTCTGTCATTCCACACAGTAAACACACACCTGACTCTAGTTTCTTTAAAGAAATAGCCATCATGTTGACCAATCACAAGGCCAGTATCCGACACACCTGCATTATCCTAACACATCCTGTTCTGCTTATCACTGAAGGTAAAGGGAGCTCCTCCTAAAGTAAAACAGTTCAGTTTTGCTCATTTAACACTCAGACTCCAACTGTACTCAGCTTGTTTTTTTTTTTTACCCCCACACACTTGGAAATACATGCGCGCCAGCTCCATGTGGTCAGATCGGGGGGTGGATTTGGTTGAGTGTTGAAAGCCGTCGGGCCTCCTCTCCTCTCCTGTCAGGAGCATCTGTCAGCTCTGCCACAGTTCTGTCTAATAAACCAGCTCCGCAGACCGGCAGCCTTTTCTGCCTGAAGGCTCCCTTGCCAAATAACACGGTAACTTTGAAGAGAAGAAAAAAGGAAATTCTCCGGCTACGCTGCTTCTCTCTTTACTATCATCTCTATCAGATCCCTATTTTGTGCTCAATTAGTTAATCTCACAGAGTGCCTTTCATTTAGCTCTCAGAGTGGCAAAAGTGGTCTTATTTGCATCGCTGTTCTCTCCGCAGGGGCAGCAACAAATGAGGCCTTGTTTTTTAAAAGGAGAGCATAATGAAGCTTTGTGGAGGCACGATCCAAGTCAGATAACCCACCAGGATTTCAATTTACTCCTGTCAAAAAATATGAAAAGCACAAATAAACGCAGCAAGGGCGGACTTTGTGAGCCTCCCCTCCTCCAGAGGACATTGATTCCACGGGTGCAGAATCATGCCTATTTATGTGTCTGTCTTTCTGTTGTTATCTTTCTGTCTCAGGTGCAAGTGCAACCTGCATGCCAACAGCTGTGTGTTTGACAAGGGGAAGCTGGGCTGTGAGTGTGAACACAACACCACAGGACCAGACTGCAGCCGCTGCAAGAAGCACTACCACGGGAGAGCCTGGAGTGTGGGCTCCTACCTGCCTATACCAAAAGGAACAGCAAATATATGTGAGTATATCACTACATCCAAGACTGTCTTCTGCATCTACAAGTGATGGGCACGGCAGTTCTTTTAGATTTACTGAATCACTAGAATCAGTTTACTAAAAAGATTTGTTCAAAAGATTCGTTCACCAAATCAACGAATCATTTAGCGGGAGAAGCCTGCGACTCCGACCTCCTGAACTGATGCACAGCTGAACGTTTCAGGATTCAGTTCAATTCATAGCTTCTGGGACAGGAGATGAGAGTGTTTGTTTGTATTGCTTTGGCAAACAGGTTTTTAAAAATGAACTTGTTTATAAGGTAGTTTTGTCCAACAAAAATGATTCCAGAGAGTGTAGTTCAATGCGTGATTCGTTCACCAAGTGATTCAGGCGTCAGTGCATGTGGTCCCTCGTTCACCGGCTGCTGGCCTGGCAATGCGGTTTCTCACATCAGCTCAACTGAAGTGAGAAACGAACGAGTCACTTTAGGAAGTGATTCAGTTCAGTATTTTCACTTAAAAGATTCGGTTCTTATGAACAAATCGTTTGCAAACAACACAACACTAGCATCTACTAGAACACTAAAAACGCCTTATCAATACCTGAGGATGATTGCAAATCCTTTACTTTTTCCACATTTAATCTTTGTCCTTGAGAAAGAGAGATGTGTCACACCTCTTTATCACATTATCTCCTGGCCTCTGGGTTGCAGCTCTCCAAAATGTCTTGTGCAAATATTTTTGATTTGCTACAATCTGCTTAAAGAGCTAAGAGGCATTTAAAAAAGTGTATAAAAGTACACACTGTGTCATTCAGCGGGAAAATATGGTACGTTTGGTTCCACTAAAGCTCCCCACGTTTGCGCTGTAATGTATAGTAGATAGTTTAGATCAGTTCGCAGTTGAGCTAAGTTCATGTCTCCTCTGCAAACGCTGTTATATCATTTTAATAATGCCACACTCGCTCATAAGGTAATATGGAAGTACCCAGACTTCTATGTCTGATCCAGAGAGAAAACATGAGCTGCAACAGATGAACCAATCATATATGTCAGAGTGTTCCCTCTTTCCAGTGTCTCATCTTTGTATTTTTATGACTATTCCTACATCATAAAACCTCCATATATTTCTCTAAACATCTTCCACACTCTCGCCGCGTCTTTGCATCAATTTGCACCATCCTGGGTGTATTTATTCCACCGACTTCAGAAATCATGCCTCCTCGAAAATTCGCTTCACATTCGGTCTGAACACACAGCGAGGGAGGAGGCTGAAACATTTTGTAACACCTGTCTTTGATGTTGGATGTGAGAGGCCTCCTTGATCTTTGTCTGGCCGTCCACTGACTCCTCGCTGATCGTTTTGATCTCTTCACATCCAAGGCCAGGCCCATTCTTCAGCAGACACAGGGTCAACGATTTCACACTCATATAGGAACACCTGTTATAACTTGACCCCAGTTCCACATGTAGGTCATCGAGATGACTACGAAGCCATCTCCATGACGACTAGGCAAACTCCATCTGTTCATGAGGACAGTAAAGGGCACTTTTGACCGAGGATTCAAGGCGAGTCAAACTCGTTCAGGATGTTGCTGAAAAAAGTTTCACTGGTTGAGCACATCTAACGCTTGATGGTTGTGTAACCCGGGAACTCTTCTCGCTACCTGAATAGGAAAGGAGAGAATGTATTAACCTTTCTGGCTCTACTTATCACACTAAATGGAGGGTTATAATCCTTTATATATGTATTTCTAACCGTGGAATCCTAAAGGTTTTGTCAGTTTTTATGTAGCGACATCTTGCGGGACGATTCTAGAGAGGAACCCCTCCTTGCCAATCTCTCCTGTCACCGTGGCAACAGTGGCCGTCGAGGATGTAAACTCGGATTCACTCGAGTTCATGTATGATAAGTCTGATCCTCCATTTGTAAAGTTTTTAAAATAAAAAACTGAATATAAAGTCATTTCCACACAACAAAAATAAATCTTACTCAGTCCTCAGCCCCTGGAGTGAAGACCTGCTGCTTCTATAATCTACAAGAGTTTCTCCAAGTCATCATGAATAAAACAGTTGTTGTTTTCCGTTCTGTATAAACTCATTTAAATCTATTACTGCACAACACAAGCTATCGATTAAACGTAAGTCCCACCTGTAATGGGGAGAATAATCACTCATAGCGTAGAATTTTAGGGTGGCCAATCCAGGTGGGACATGCCACCCCTCACCGCCATTCTGGACACACCCCTGCATGGCTGATGTTTAACATTACCTGTATTGACAAGCATATCGTTAGTCGTTTGAACTGCATAGTCTGTAGGGCTGGACGATAAACCAAACATTTACAGATAACGAAATTTACGACAATAACAAACTTTATTTTTCCATGTCAGTATATTTGGTGTAAAAAAATTAAATAAATGAAAGTTGGTTTCGGATGTGTGTAGGTAGGCTATGGTCTTGTAGAGTAGCCATCGTCCATTTGTCATTATCGAGGTGAACTGTTCAATATATCGTGATATTGATATGAGGCCATATCGCCCAGCCCTACTAGTTTGGAACAAAAAAAAAAAATATCTAAATAAAGACTCTGTTTTTCTGGAAACAGGAGTGAAGCTGTGTTTACTTCAAGTGCAGACAGAACTAAGATAGCAGTGAATCAGAGATTTAAACACTGTTTCCTGGTGTTTGAAGGTGGTTAAATTCTAAAAAACCAATTAACACACTCACCTCACTCACCGGCTGTGGGAATGTGCCTCATTTTTTCCGTGAATCCAGCCAAAGCACAGGCTCCATCCTGCCTCTCTCTCTTCTCTGCGTGTGTTTTGTGCCCCACCCTCAGTCGAACAGATGCACAGACCTTCAGCTGCTGCGGGCTACGTTCTCCACACAGACAGAAAGCAGACCAGACATCTCGTCTAGCCACATCGGTTTAGACTGGAAGGTTTCAGGATGTTGCAGACAAGGGCACTGAAAGAAGTTTAAAGTTTCAATTCTTGTCTAACATGTCTCTTGTGTGAAATGTCCTTCAGATATAACTCAAAGCTACAGACTCTTAGCTGAGATGTTTTGTGGAAGAGTGCTCCTGAATACAGTGAAAACAGCCCTGTAGAGCAGGCGCTCGGGTCCTTTTCAAGCACTTGTTGCTGTTCATTCAGTCAGTCAGTCAGTCTCCGGTGAGCATAAATAGCCCTCCTTCCAATACTTTAACACTGAATTTAGTATTCCTGTCTCAACTCCATAACAAGGGTGAACTAATGCTGGATATTTTCCCGCCTGTTCACATGGTATCTCTGAGGCAGAAGGTGCTCTTTTGAATTATCCCCATTATAATCTTGGACGGGAGTTGAGTCACATTTATCAAATCCCGTGCCTGAGGCGGGGGGCTCATTGCCTCAATAAATCTAATACAGCCAGCTCAGGGATGTGGCGGTGGACGGCCAGGCGAGGGCCAGATGGTGGAAGATCTAGCCCTCTGGTCCTCCGCTCACACTGATTCAGCCTTACAGTCAGAAACTCGACATGGCAGAAGTCTGCAGGGATTGACAGCAGGTTTTTCAGATGCTCAGTTTGATTGTCTGACTTGTTTTCTCAGACATGGATGCAGCAGTTAGATCTGTTAGCATGTTAGCTATGATATTGCTATTGATCCTCAAACAGTGCTCTCTTTGGGCTGTTTGTTGATGAGGAATTAGAAGCTTGCACACATTTGTACTTGTATGTTTCATGGGCGTGTTTGCATGTCTGTGCACTCCAAGTTGCGCGCATGTGTGTGTGTGTGTGCTCATGCAACACGTTTGATTGCATGTGGGAGTTTGTTTGTGAGAACGTTCGTGGACTCTAAGGAGATATTGCTGGATTTACCCCTGCACCTCTTCTGTTATGAGCCTCCCTGCAATGTGCTGCTCACCGTCAGATTGACAGGCCGTTATTAAAAAATCCAACACTTGGCCGCATCTGCACCGAACTGATGAAACCAGGGTCTAGCCATATCAAAAGCAATATTAGCACACTTGTTTGGCAGCGGCATAAGATGCAATAATGTTGCACATGGAAGTGACGTAACATTATTGGTCCCTCGGGTGTTCGATGAGCTCTCTTTTCTCTTAAATTATTCTTATTTTCTCATAAGTAAAGCCCGTGCCTTTGTCCATTATGAGTCGCTCAAATCTGGTACAAGGATATTAAACATACAGGCCTCGTATTAAGACAAATGTGCTGAACGTGCAAGATGTAATTATGGTTTAATAGCTTTCATCTGTCATCAAGTCCTCCTCTTTAATCACGGCAGTCATTTATCTAACATGTAGGAACAAGGAGAGGTCTATTACATATTTAAACCCCCCGCACATGCAGATATATGGACATATGTGACCCTTCATCTAATAAATTAGAGCCCAAAATGGAGCCCTCTGTTGCTATGGGCCATAGTTGTCAGCAGCAGAGAGTGACTGATAGTGATTCAAATCCAAGGTTTCCCTAAAAGAAGCAGAAGAAAAGCGGTAAGCTGCCCACAGAGCAGAAGAGGAATCGCTCGGAGAATTATGTTGACAGTCCACTTTACAGGGAGCGTCAACTCATCTGGCGTTTCAAGGCGGGTTCAAAGGTTAAGAAGGGCTGCGGCTGAGGGTTTGATCAGACTGTTGAACGCGTTTCGGCTTCAAAGGGCAATATTGTTTGCCCTCCATTTCTCACATAGAACAACTGTTGGTCAGGCTTTGGGGCTCGCTCGCTTTCTTGCAAAGTGGAGCTTAAAATGTGCTGCAGTGACGGCGCGCATGCCAGCAGTTGTTGTGACAGCCCCAAACTGGTAATGAAGTGATGAATGGGGTGCAAACAATATGAGAGCCAGCTGAAACATAATTAGAGGAGGACAAAGCGGCAAAAACTTGGAAACTGTATCAGAAATTGCACTAATTATGGAGTGGAATCTGCCTGCTGATTATTCTAATAACCACAAAGATGGTGAATACACAGACAGACACTGATTACCCATATGTGAAAGACAGGGCAGCATCAGGGTTGCCAAAGCCAGTCCCAGCTTGCAGACAGAGCTAATATTTTAGAGTTTGGGTGAATATTTATATATTTTTTTTTCTCTGACAGTTAATGTCCCAAATTCATGGAGCTTCTTTTTAATGTAAATAAGTAATAAGAGTCATTTTTGATGTTCTCAAGTTGATCTGACCAGAGGTGTGTCTCAGCTCTCTATCTATTATAAAATGCCACTATAGTGCACTTTTTACAGTTTACAGTTGCATCCAACAAATCAAATTACATAAAAAGTTTGTTGTTAGATTTCAGTTCAACAAGTTAAACTTTCCTACCATCAGTTAAACATTTCAAGCTTTTTTTGTTGTATTTTGGTTTAAAGCTCCTGTAAGGGATTTTTTTACATTAATAAAATTGACTGAAAATTCATACTGAGGCATTTTTATGATAAATGAAAACAAACAAGACCATCAGTGGTAAAATTGATGTTACTTTAAGGTAATTTTTGATGCCTCAAACTGGTGCAGGAGGGTAGGTGTCAATTTTTTTTATACTTTACACATTAATAACTGATTAATTTGACCTTCAAAAAGCAACAATATCAAGATTATTTTGTCCAAAATCACAACTTAAGCATGTAGAGAAAAAGATAAGTAAATATATCTTTGTACATAGGGGGCGCCAAAATCCACACAAACTGAAAGTTCCTCACAGGAGCTTTAAATTTTCCTAATATTGTCCCATAGCTCATAAAAAAATCAGAAATCCAGTTTATTTAATTATTGGAGTATAATAAAACATGACAGGATAGAAAAAACTGCTTTATCCAGTTTTCAAATGATATGTCTATTAATAAACCAAACACTTAATTTGGGCTTTTCTACCTTGGATCACCCTGTCAATATGGCATTCAGTCTATGTCGCTGAGACCCAGATTGTTTTAATTGCAGCTCTCAGCTAATCTGAATTTTAGGGTCTGTTTGTTTGTTTCCCATCTTTCTCTCAACAACACAGCATTGACTCTTTAAAAGTACTTTAAAATCTCTGTTTTGACTTGTTGGCCATAATTATCGAAATTAATATAGAAAAAATACATTTAACATTTAGTGCGTGTAATGAGGTCAGAAAATACATTTTTACTTTCTGCCCTGACTGAAAATATTGAACATTTTCCCACTTTCTAATTGGTTGAGCAGCACTTTTATGCTTAAATGGTTCTGAGTCTCTTTGGCATCACGGAACTCTGTCTCTCTTAGATAATGAAATAGAGGCAAGCCTTCACACTTACTCTATGCCACAAATTGCTCCAATAATCACAGCGTTTAGACACTCGGGTCTAAGTCTAGTGATATTTTTTTGATTACTTTGCGCCTACGTGGGATGCATATAACTATATCTTTTGAGACGGGCCAAAAAAAAGTTTATTTCAAACATAAAACAAAATTCTGTTGGAAGGATTTTCTTGGATAAGGAGTTTTGAATTTGTTGACATTTCATCACTGGCAGACCTGTTATTATCATCAGAAGAGGGCAGGTGTTGTGGTCAAGTTCAGCGCACACTGCTGCTGTTAATCAGGGGACCAATCGGGGGCCAAGTGTTTGTCCTCAGTCGGCTTTGAATTTTTCAGACAACATGAAATACAAATGTTTTCTTTTGCAGTTTTATCTCTGAGGTTTCAAAGATGAGTAAGGTTTCTGTCTTTGCTCTTTCTGCAGGTATCCCCAGTAATCACGGACCAGTGCGTAAGTGACCAAGCTTTTCTTTTCAACGGCATGCTGACTAATGGTTTTCCCCCTCAGTGATGACTAACTCTGTCTGACTGATGTTGGTGTGAAACATCGTGCTGTACATCACCATTACCATTCAACAGTTATGTTTCCTACAGTGGAAACGAGAATCTTTACACGGCATTCATTCATGTAGAGTCACATCTACCACTACCTGACTTTTTATGAATAAAGATGAATCAGTGCAGCTGTCCTCTGAGACGTTTCCTGAACTGCATCTGAAAGAATCAGGATATTACTCATCGTAGAGTCTACTCTGTTTCTAAAAAGTACATGCATAAGAGCTTTACTTCACTTCTCATCTTTAAGACAGTTATTACAAATCAAATGGACTTTTTACTCCTGCTTCCTGTCGTGCAAACCAAGACTCCTGTTTCATATTGAATACATAGTCCACCTACTGATTCCGCAATATCTCCACAAAGCATCAGACAAATTGGCAGATAACTCGGTATTATTTGCAAATTAGGAACTTTTTTTGAATAACAGCTTTTGAGTGGGTTTGGAGACTCCTTTGATGAATGGAAATAAATGAAAACTGCAGCTTAGCAGTGTTTGCCACAAATAGACGGCACCTGTACAGCTCGCCTCAAGGTTTATATTTGGCTGCCAAAAAATGATGCAAACCATTTAAAGTGTTTTTTTAAACGCAAAAAAAGAGGCAACTGTGACTTAAGGTCCTTACACACCAGGAACATTTTTTTTTGTGCAATTATTTTGGACATCAGTATTTTTTTCGAACCCATATCCTGTCAATACAAGCATACATCAGTGACGTTTTCCCGTCCTGTGATATTGCGGCATTTATTTTTTCGGATCACGGTCAAATTTTCTAAAGTTTTGCATACTGTGTGTCCACTTCTGACCAATCAGATTTCATGTTGTTGCGACGTCTGATTAAAAAAAAAACACAAACATTACAAAGATAACGACCTGAAGGACAACTTGTGAAGAGTCATAGCGTCGGATCTCTCATATGACGATGGTTTGTGTCCTTTAACAGTTTGCTAAACGTCCTTGTTTTAACTTTCATCTGTGCTAAGTAACTTTAGCTCGTAAGCTAACCTGTTCAGATACAACATATATGTATTTCCACTGTCTCAAACTCAATCGCGTTGCTGTCACAGCACCATTAGGTCTCGGTTGTTACCTTACGTTTATGGATTATAGTTTAATGTGCTTATCTGGTACTGGCCCCGTCTCAGTACATGCTATCATGATGGACAGACATCTCAACACTAGTGTCTAATCAGAACTGAAAAACAGTCAGTCTGCTGTTGTGTCAGTCTTCTCGCTTCCACCCGGGCCGCGTCTTTTTTCCCCCCGGAAAGTCGCAAAAATCGTATCGGGCTTGATGCGTGTAGTCAGGCGCATCAAAATTCGCCTCTGAATATTTCGTAATTTTGCGTCGTAATTTTGCGTCGTAATTTTGCGTCATATATTTGCGTCGTTCCCGGTGTGTAAGGACCTTTAGTCAGTCCTCTTGTGAATAAGTGTGTTTGGGATTACTTAATACTGGTGGGCTCCTGTTATAGCATCCTCCTCCATCAGTGTATAAACATAATGGGAATGTGTGGATGTAATTAGTACTGTTACAGAGCTCGAGAGATGGAAGTCCTACATTATACACCTCTTATTAGTGTATTGATTTAGGAGCAGCTTCCCTAGATTAATATGAACCTCCTCAAACCACTGTTTTCAAAGTTTATGTGCTGCCGGTTGCTGCTAGAGTCATTAGTTTTAGATCGTTGCAAAACACTTTGTCAGTGACAAACCTTATTCAAACATGAATCACTTGCAGTGATGATATTGTGGTGCAGATTTGGAAACCTCTGCCGTGTTGACTGGATGTCTTTATCAAACATACTCATGAATCATTTTGTCAGAGTTCAGACACTGACAGGTAGAGAGATATGAAAGGTGGCAGGGTGGGACTTGGAGCTGTGTCCACATGTGTGCGAGCATTTAAAAATAAAAGTGAAAGAAAGTGAGGTGAACAGTTGGTCTCTTTTAAAACACAATGAGATAAAATGGGGGGAAAAGGCAGAGAATAGAGGCCACATTATAGAGGAAAAATGTAAGATTTGGGGAATAAAGTCTTAAATACAATGAGAATAAAAATGTTAAAGAATAAAATAAAGTGATTCATGTCTGACTATCATGACAATATTGTCCTTTTATCACAAAAAATGTGAGAAAAACTCTTGATTTTGGGTTCTGGTTAGTCACTTACTAGCTTGTAATTCTGACTTCTTTGTCATGAAATTCTCGTCAACCTATTGCAGCATGAAAAGGTTAATGTATTTCACTACTTTCAGAGGATAATCCAACACCCATCACTGTGTGGGAAACACTGCTCAGATTTCTTGAATTTTGCAGTATGGTTTGCAGACTGGTAAGCAGGACTATCTTTTGTGTTAATTTCTAATCTAAAACATGCAATTTATTTACAATTAAGGGTTAACTAACTAGTTAATGAAGTATTATCAAACCCCTGCACATTTGAGCCAGTAAATCAGCAGGAACTTCTTGGATTTCATATCTTCACCTCCACACAAGAGTGTTTGCCCCGAGCACACAGACAGATATTTGCCCAAAGCCAAAGTAAAGAAAAGCATTTTTTCGTGTGGTTCCCACCATGCATCCCCACGCATGTCGATGCCTGAAGGTGACTCCTCATACTGAATCCGAAAACAGCTACCATATGTACATGTCTCTGCCTTTGTCTTTGCATTATTCACTCATTTTTAAGTTGCATGCACATCACCCCTCCACATTAGTCCATCTACTTCCCCTTCGAACATGTGGCAGACATTTTCAAACAGTTCTGAGGCGAATCGGTCCTGATACCAACCAGTGAGTGTAAAGATAAAGGATCTCTGCATGCTGTCCCTGTGCTTTAAATACATAACAGCATGAACTATCTGACAACTCAGTGTAATTTATAACCTTTCCCATTTTCACACAGATCGAGCAAATGCTTCATCTCTTGGTGTTGCAAATCGTAACCAAGGTAGGCTTATAGGCTTTGTAACTTCAGCATGACATTAACAATACATAGAAAGAATTGATTGCTTATTGATTGGGAATTTAAAAGGACCAAAGTAAAGGTGTAATGTAGACTATGCTAAGGGGTATAAACAAGGTTTGTTTTGTTTTTTTCCCCAAAGCCCAGCTGCTTTCATCCTGCATGCACACAAACAAACACCGGCCCTTACAAGGTGGACCTTTTGTTGTGGGAAAAACTACTGGGAATGGACCACATGTCCCAGGATCACAGAGTCCACAGCCTTGTAACCCCTTTGATCATACCTGCTTTATAAATACCCAGAATGCGTGCTGGGAGGGGGTTGGGGTGGGCACCCTTTCTGCTATGATCAGAAGGGGAAAAAAGGGAAAGAGAAGAAGGAGAGGGAAGGAGAGAAGAGGCTCCAGGGGGGTTTATGTAGATTGATCTCCAGCTATCTCCAGCTAATCCTCAGGCCCAGATATCCTGTGTAGTGAGTGTTAAGTTGCATCTGCACCACTGCTCCCACAGCCAGGAGAGAGGGAAAAAAAATTAAAAGAGGACTTTCAGGATTTTGGAGATTAAGCGAGGAAGCGTTTTCCTTTTGTTTTGGTGAGTTAGAAAGATGAAGAAGAGATGCACGTGCGGAAATAATCCAGGGTTTGCTGCTGTCAGAGGTGAAAGAAAACCAGTTACCGCACTGTAAAGGAGTGGATTACAGGAATTCTATTTATGTGTAATTCACATCATTACCATACTGGGTGAAAGAGCAAAGTGGCAATCTAAGCGATCAGAATTTCATGGTACTTTGTTCAATCATAGGATATCACATATCTGCAGGTGTTTTCATGGGAACAAACCCCAGAGTTAGGCATGTAGGCTGAAGATGTAAACATCCAAAGAAGTTATTTTAATGTGAAAAAATATCTTCATACTGATGTTTTAATGAGCAAACAAATTGTAAGTTTTAATGCCTGAAACCAGTGCAAGGGAGTAGGTGCCAGCCATGCAGCCGAGGAACAGCCCTGTTTTGACAATTTTCATGTAAAATATTGACAATAAATAAACTACATAGCAGCCGTCACACTGCATAGCTGTTCAAAAACTGTTCTTAACTGAATGTATGAGTTTTGATGAAATAGTTTCAAATCAGCCTCAGTAGACATTAAAAGGTAAAAAAAAAAGGTAAAAGGTATTTACTGTCAGGTTTTATTAAAGCACCAGTAGGGAACTTTTGTTTAATGCCAACTTTTGGTTAAAGCCTGACCAGGGACGAATACTGAAAATTAGCTGAAGGTAGACGTCTTGTATGCATCACATTTTCCATTTCTTGTGGCAATGTTGATGTATTGTCCCTGTTAAAAAAAAAACATTAAAATAAATAACTTAGCGCCCTCTGATGATAAATCAGTCTTTGCTTAGCTTGTCCTCAAATTGTTGTTCACATAAAATTCTCGATCTGCTGACTTTGTAATGCCAAATGTATCCTTTATTGTGACTGTTTTGTGTGAAATATAAAAACAGAGCTGTGTCACCGCTGACACCTACCCCCTCACAGAGATTTTGGGCACCAAAATTGACTACATACAAACCATTAATCTTATCACTGATGGTCTCATTTGCTTTTTTGATGTCATAGAAAGAAAGAAATATGAGTTTCAGTCAATTTCATGAACTTCCAAAATTTACCTGCAGGAGCTTTAAATTCAAGATGGCGGGACAGAAGGTTGGAAATGCCATGGAGCTTGGAAAAACTGCAAATCTTTCAAAGCATCACGTGACAATTAAACACAATAAAGTTTTGATTTTATGTTTGCGGAAAATTTGCATTGAGTATCTGTCTACCTAACTAAGTTTCATGCTTGCTGGCTTTATTTCTGTCAGTAATATTAATATTGAGAGAATTAATTAGAAAAGTGAATACATCAGTTTCAAATATGTTGTTATGAGACGACCTAAAGTCTGACTTCAAACCCATATTGTATTCTCAACGCTGTGCCATCATTCTGGCAGCCTCCAGGCAAAGATAGTTGAGGTCTCAAATTTAATTCTCTTTAAACACAGCAGGCAGTTTGCTTTAATTTGAGTTTCTACATAACATCATATGTATATTTCATTCTTAGCTAAGTTTAATTGCTGTTTATACAACTTAAAGTAGCAACTTACAGACAGTTATGGTTGTCTGCAATTGAGAAATGGTAGAATCAGGAACAATATATGTACTTCTCTGGCATTAAAATGTTAAATAAAGCAACTGTTTGTTGGTTAGCGCAACCTAGCATAGAGGCAGGAAGGTCTGAGGAGCAGCACGTTAAAAGTTCATTTCTAAAATTCAACAACTGTCTGAACTTGGTCAAACTTTTGACTCTGCTGAGTTTGTTTTTAAGCCTAGCTTCTTGTCTTTGCTAATTGTAGCTAAGCTAATACACAGACTGGCTGGTGCTCCACGCTTAACTATCAAACTTCAACGTGGGAAGAATAAGAATTTCCCCCAAAAAAGCCTAATATTCATGTTTTATTCAACTTCCTTCTTTTCTAACTCTGTTTGACAGCTATTAACCATTAGCTGGGGTTCAGAGAAAATGGGCCACTTTCTGTGTTTACATGCAAAGTTTCAGCCCTGCCACTGTCGAGTGCTAAGCGTTCATCTGACAGTTTATATTGAACTTCTCAGCCTGGAGTCATGACTAATGATGAAGCCTCCGTGTTAATATGATAACAGGTTTCAGCTTACCCTGACATCATGGAAAAGATATTGATCCAGTGTAATTGAAGAAACACTATTCTGTCTCAGAGCATATAATTAGCAGATCCTGTATCTGAAAACTGTCTCCAGTTATATTTAATTGCACTGGAGGATCTATAGTTATAAAGCCTTTTAAAAACTATTCAATAAACTACGATTAAAAATGATTTCTGAATATGATTTTTCTCCTCTTTATGTAATTAAATGGAGTTTCCAATTCATCTCTAGAGTCTATCCAGTTAAAAAATAAACTCCCTTTCAGGCCCCGCACGGCTTGTGTGATTCATGTTCTGTTCTTGTGAATGAATGCACTTTAAAAGGCTGGTTCTCTATTAGTTTTATCCTACAACAGAAGATCTACATCTTTTATGAAATGGAGTGACAGGCGCTACAGTCCGGGACATCCATTTATGACTTTTAACCTGATTTGACACTATGATTGTCTGTATCTCAGGGAGTTCTGCTGCTGCAGAGAGTGCGCTGAGATATGAGATCTGCCCAAGTATGACTAGGGCATAAACACTCTGCAGACTCCTTATAAATTAATAATAAAAGGGATAATACAAACAACATCTCAAGAATAGTAGTAGATAACATGCTTCACAGAGTGTGATGAAAATAAGTGTAAAAACATGGTAACAGTATTGCGGCAGGATGGTGGGAAAAAGAGGTGTGAAAACAGAGGAGTACCACCTAATTACTAACAGAGGAAGGCTGTGAACAAACAGGAATTAACTCTTACATATGTCGTCTTTTAGTACTGTTGTAATTCTTCCAATTAAAGCTTTAAGTTACAGTTGTTTAAAAACAAAGAGGAACTGGATCCTTTTAGAAATGACAAAGCTTAAATTACCGTTACTACAAAAAGTACAGTAACATACTGTATTTCATAAAACTACAGCCAGGTACTAAGGCCAAATATGAGCAAACAAAACATAATTGTGAGCACAAATAGTTAGGAATATTTTCAAATTATTATTTTCACAAAAAAAATTAAGGGAAGAAATCTTAATTTTAGTCTGTTTTATTTTTTGTACTATTTTCTTATTATTTTTGATGGGGGGACTCTGACAAGCAGCCATCTGCCTGCAGTAAAATAATGAATGTGGTTCATTTTGTAAAGTCAAACTTCAGTATTTGTTTCATATATTACAAAATACTCAGTCTTTTAGCCCATTATGATAAGAATCAAGATTCAAAATGGATTTTGCCAGACATTGAATCTACCATGAAAAAGAGCCGCCCGTGCACATTACTGTTATTTGAGGAACAAACTGCATAAATAGTTTTAGATTAGGATATAATTCATCCAGATTGCATTTAAAAACACTTTGAAAAACAGGAATATTTCTCATTCAACAAAAAGTGAATTAATAGTTAATAAGTAAACATCCGGTTTCAGGAGCAGCAGACTGAAATGCTCAAATCGTGTCTTTGTTTGGTCTTTTACTGCTGCACTGTTGCTGTGGTGAATTTCTTCCATGTCGCTTCGTGCAACACCAAGGCCCAGTGATGGATGTGTCATAACAGTTATACTGCTAAAATGTCACACATCCAGCAGGTGTGAGGTGCACATATGTCCCAGAGAGAGTATGCTGGAGCTCTACAGCCGGGGTTCGAATTGCTGTCTTCTCACCAGACTGAGAGTGAATGATGTTACCCCGGGCAAGACTGACCACCTCTTTATATCAGCTCTTTAAAGGCATCCCAAATCATGACACTATACTTTATCATTTATTAATAAAGGGCGATTATTTACTCATCTCAGCTGGGTCTTGAAAAAGCTGTGTGAAATCGATAGGAAGTCACGTGACAAAGTAAACCCCGATGATGTCTTTAGGGAATCTGAATTCAAGCAGACTGTACTGAACATCTACATGACTGGGTCAAGAATAGATTTTCCAGGTTAGAGTGATCTCACCTATTGGCTTTCAAAGGGGTGCTATGAAGCCTTGAGATAGTCAGTGACTACCATTTTTCAACATCATGTTTCTACCATTGAGCTTTTTTGCCTTAAAGGCCACCGTCACTTTATTAAATAAGCATTTAAATCCAGAATCAGACTGGTAGATTTGACTTAATATTCTCATTTCAAATCACTTACCCTTTAATATTGGCTCTTATAGGACTTATTTGGCTTTTGGACCAGCCCCAAGTGGACACCAGAGGAACTGCAGTTTTTTTTTAACTTCTGTAAGAGCTTCATTGTAATACTGGATTATTCTGCTAAAATATGAGGCACTTTCCTGATGGTGCAACATGAGATTATGCACGATAGGAAATGTAGGATCTAGTATTTTGCCAGTACCTTTGATTAAACTTGTCAAATCTATCACTGGTAAATCCACCAATCTGAAAGCACTGCAACAATAAATCACAGGCTCTTAACCCTTTTTCTCTTTTGGATGAGCTGATGTAATTTCAAAAACACTTAATTGATCCCCAAACATGTGTTAATGCACCTTTTTATACACTATACTTCCACACTGTCACTGACATTGTCCTATTATCAAAAACTGTCACGAACTGAAGCTAACTGACAAGCTTTCATAATAACACAAATATCCAGTCACTATGTGAGATTTCTCAAAGCGACACAGAATAATTGACTTATTTTACACTGTATTTTGTCAGAAGCTGGGCCCTGTGGCTGCACAAAGACACCACAGGCTTAAGCCTGTGGATAAGCAAACTAATTGGGCTACAGATGCTTTTAGAAAGACAGCGGTCTTAAGGGTCCGCTGGAGGACATGCAGATTATCCCTCAACCACAGGCAACAAAGTTAATGTCTAGACTATACAATGGAGACTCAGCTGATCCCACGGAAGTTTTAGCGAAACACACAAAAGCAGGTGTTTTCCATTAGTGGTAAAATGAGAAAGCTGCTCTGACATCAGTGTTTGGGATGAAGTCAGGGGACCATTAATGTTTGAATTCACTGAGGACGTGGCAGCAGCACTTCCTGATTTAGGAGTCTATTTTCATGCACCAGAAGTCCGAGCATTTTTCAAATGCTTGACTTGAAGGTGGACTGGTTTAGAGGGTCTTTGTTTTGTCAGGCACAGACCTAGACCACGGCTTTACCGCATGAGACAGGTTCATAGGGTTTAGTTTATTCAAGCATGAATAGATCCAAGTGAAAATTCGGATTTTTTCTGACAATAAATATATCCAAGTATCACCAAAGCTGGCTGATGTAGTATTGTAGACCTTTGGGCGACTGAATATGGAACAAAACACTAACTAACTTTCATTAGGTCAGTCTAGGACACTTACTGACTTTGCAACTCAAAATCTCCATTTTTATCTTCCACTGGCGTCTGCAAAAACCCACACTTCAGCTCCTAACTTCATTTGGCTGCACCTCCAATGATACAGTCAGACACATCTTGCTGGTGTTACTTTTCACAAAGTTTTGCAGTCACAAAAAGTTACACCTCCACAACAAACAACTGACTTTAAGTGTTAGATGTTAGATCCCCAACATGTTAATTAGCACTAAGCTAACTGTTAATAAGCTGCTGTTACATTGGTTCCAAGTCATCATGGAAAGGTGGATCCGGCGGGGATTTCATTTCAGCCTTTGTGTGCAAATTTTGTGTCTCAAAATGTATCATTATCAAACCAAAACTAAAACAAAACATTAAACGTTAAAGGCATGGTTGACGATCTGAAAAGCAGTTGAAAAAACTGAGCCGTTGAGGCAGATTTGAAAAAGCGTCCCACCCCCCACACACAAACCTCTCCCCCCTGAACCTGTATCGCCCTCCCCACGACGCACCCCCTCTGGCAGAGCAAGAAGGCCAGCAGAAGATTCTACGCTAGCTTTAAATAGGATTCACCATGTCGGATTGCTAATGACTAGCGGCAGTAAACGCCAGCTCTGCTAACGAGCACAGTCTGCAGCTGCCTGGACAGCTACCGTGTTGACATTGCAGAGACTAATAAGAGTTATTTATGTAACGTGCCACGATAAAAGGCAAAAATTACCTGTTCAACAAAATCTCTGCTGTCTCGGCGTCTGTTTTCAGGCCCAAATCCTGGCGGAGTTTTCTCCATCGCTCGAAGGATGACCCGATGTTTATTCCAGTTAGATTCCTCGCTTGGTCACATTTCCTCATCGTCTCTGCCCTTTCTTCTGTCAGCTTGTGTTTTCTTAGCACTTTTCAGAATCAGAATCAGAATCAGAAATACTTTAATATCCCCAGGGGAAAAATGCTTTTGTTACAGTGCTGCAGTGCAAATACAGTAAAGAGGAGATAAATAATAGATAAAATAAAAGATAAAATAAGTAAAAATATAGAGATAATATACAAGTATTTACATTCTAAACAACACAAATAGTGACATCGTATGCATGTAAAACAGTGAGCAAGGTTCCAGGTAAAGACTACTGACTGAGTGTGTCAGTCTTTTGGTGATGGGGCAAGCAGAAGTGGTTTTATTTCCATCCGTCTCCATCACAGCTCCTGTAGCTAACTGATACACTACTTTTAGCTGCTCAGAGCTCCGAGGAGGGCCGGGAGAGTAGGAGGGGATGAGGCGGAACTACTGGAGAGGGATGTGTTGAATACAGCAAGGTGATTGGATGGAGAGGCGGAGCAGGAGTTTGACCAATAGGAGCTATGCGGGATGGATGGCTCCCATTGGTCAATGTTTTTGCAGCCCTGCACCTGCTAGGGTGAGCGGATTTTATTAACTTTAACTTTAACTTTATCATTATTTATCATTAACTATGCCTTTAAGAGCTGAAAACTGACTCAAATCAAAAGTCTCTCTCTGGAGCTTTAATATTTGCCTCCTTGCTTTAAATTTCTAGCCGTTACGTAAATCGTACTCGCTCTGCAGTGCTACTATTACCTAAAGTTGGTCATGGCAGATAGGACGGCATGTTTACAGAGAAGAAGAAGAAGAGCTGACTGTATTGAGAAACTGCAAACACCAGCCTGTAATGCACCCTGTTAACAGCTGTACGACTAACTGCCACTTATTGCAAATATTATCAAAAATGTGTTCATTAGACTCAAATGCATCTGCACCATATTACTTCCCTTGCTCAGCATAGATTTGCCCTTTAGAGGAAAGTGAATGTAAACACACGGCTTATTCATGATATGATTTGCAGATCAGCCTCTGCTGAGTTTTTTTTTTTTTTTTTCTCTCCCAAATATAAACATTGTCAAGTTGCATTACCAGAATTGATTGTAGGGAGTTTTGTGGCCCATTTATTTTAAATTTATCTCAAACAATCTATGCAAATGTCAGATTTTTGTGTCAGTCTCTGAATCAAGGAGCAGGAGGCTTGTTGCCAGACTCATTATTTCACACCTAGTCTTCAACAATCACGCACTGAGAAATCTATCATTCACACCGCCTTAAGACCTGCTGCATTTTAAGTGAGGAGCATGAGTGATGGGGAGAAATGCTATATTTGCCCTTACTCTGCGATCATTATTAATCTTTCTATAAATACATGAAAACAGAGGCTGTCTCGGGTTTTCAATAGCAGAGGCTGAAAAGAAGTGTGTGGAGTCATGGGAGGAGTTTTCAAAACTATTCGGGATCCGGCATCATCATTAAAATCCTGATATCCACATGTAGGATCTCGGAGAAAGCATGACATCAGCTTTGTCTGCTTGCAGCGGGAGAGGGGTGTTGTAAGGTAAAACGCAGCGATACCAATGCCTTTTTAATCAGTTTTGGCAGGAAAAAATATTATTTGTCGAGTTTATTCTCATGCATAAGCCATAATACTGGAAACCAAAAAATGTGATTACTATTTATGCAGGGAGAGATATCCAATTACACCGAAATCTCTTGGCAAATATTACCTCTTCCAGGATTTCACCTCTGCCAGCAGCGGGGCTTCTTGGGATAATTGAGTTGTGAGTTTTTGTCTGGAAATGTGAAGATCAGCTTATGTCGTACTCATCAATCTATATCAAACAAACACGTGTTTGGAGGCCGCGACAGCACTCTGATTGTGGATATTATGTCCTTTCCCTCTGACGGGGTTGTAAGGTTTGTTGTTAGGTTAACCGCGGAAGAAAATAACAGCAATTGGTGAATTACCTCGCAACCCGGATTTGCATATCAAAGGTAGAGGTGGTGCAGCTCGAGCCAGACATCCTTTCCATGTCGTCTCCTCTTTTCTGCTCTGTGAGTGTCATTGTGCCAGAGGGAAGCCAAGTGTAATTCTCCTGTCCTGCTCAGAGGGGCTGTTTCACAATACTCTGGCATCCTTTGATTCACTAATCATTGATTTCACCTCATCACTGCCATGATTTGTTTGCTCTTTTGTTTTGCCAGGATTAATTCCCTCGAGATTCCCGTTTGCGCACCTAAAAATATCCATAAAATGTCTGTCTGTCTGTGTTCTCCATGTAACGGCTTCTCTAGTGTTTAAACTCGACCATGTCCTGGTTTTCGTTTCCTCTTTGTGTGCCCACTTTATTCAAAAGTCCTTGGCTTCACCCTTTCCTAATGTGTCAGCTGTGCTCTAAGGACACAGAGCGTTGCAGACAGGACAAGAAGAGGCAGCTTGTGCCCTGTGAACCTGCCTGTTGATGTTCTCTGCCGCTCCATCGCTGAGTGATCTATTAATCACCCCTTCCTGTCTCCCCTGCCCTTTTTTTTCCCTCCTTTTTTTGCTTTGTCTCCGCAGCTCGCGTGTGTGACAACGCCATGCTGCGCTGTCAGAACGGCGGCACGTGCCACCACCATCAGCGCTGCCACTGTCTCCCCGGCTTCACAGGCGTCCTGTGCGAGAGAGCTCACTGCCAAGGCCCCGGGGAGTGTGATGACCAATTGGATGGACAGGCCGCCTTCCATCACCTTCCCATCGCTTTGACCCTCGTAGTGCTCCCGCTATTGATTGTACCCCTTTGCTGAGAGGTCAGAGCGGCCTCCCCTCCTCAACCAAAACCCTGAGACCACATATGTCGGGACTGAACTCTCAACCTGAAGGACCTGAAGGACAAAGGACATGTGGACAATGTGCTCGGCATACATTACAAGCAACTCTTTTGTATATCCAAGGCCGCAGGCGTGGGCGAAAGTATTACTAGTGCAGCAGGATGTGCACTGATCTGTTAGACTGAATACTAGATGGATTTATGAGAGTATTCTGATAATGTCACAGAGGAGACGGTTGGAGCCCTGGCTTTGTGGTTATGTTATTGGCTGATGCTTCATTAAAAAGGCAGACTGGAGACTCGGAAAGAGCTACCCACCTTCTGAGAGCAGACTGTATAAAACTAGACACATGATTTCTAAGTATCATCTGAAGTAATTAAAAAATAATAATGTGGACTGGGACATCTTAGAACATCTCGCCTCACTGCCTCCTTCCTAACTCGTCCCCCTCCTCCTCCTCCTTCCTCTCCTCCTCTCCCTCACTCTTTCCCCTCACCGCTCCTCCCTGTGCTTTGGTGACTCTGGTGAATTTTACTTTGCTGAAGGGTGTCTGTTGTTTTTGCCAAATGCTGCACATGTGATATTATCGAGCCCCCTCGACGAGTACCGACCTTTTTCTGTTTCCTTTTCCAGAGGCTTTGTAGTCATGCTTGAGCTCACCTGTATGAGATAAAGAAAAAAAAAGTTGTAACATACTGTAACTGTATTTAATTTTTGTATAAAACAGATATTTTCATGACTACGCAAAACAAAAGGATGTATTACTTGTTTTCTATTGCTGCAGATCTGTCCTAGATGTGGACTATATGAGTGCGTAAGGAGTTTGGTTGTATTATTTCTTTTGCTTGTGTGGCACATGGCTCTCTTCATCGGAGAGCTGCTGTCGAAACTATGTTTACATACACACTTACACAATACACTTCCACCAAAGGGAAAAAGAAACATGTCTTTGTCTTGTTGTTGAACGATAGAAACATCACAGAGGGTCAAGATTACATACGAGACCAGCTGTTATTCCAAGAAAAGCATTCCTCTCAGCAATCATCGCCAATCATTCAGCTAAACAACATCTGCTCGAAACAATATCTCCAAGTTATACGAGCAGGACTTGGTGCGCCACGGCCCTCCCCTTGTTGTGCACATGAAGATTGGAAAAAAAACGGAATAATCTCGAGTCAGAATCCCATCAGCTTTATGTAAATTGAACAAGAAGACTTGGTTAAAAAAAAAAATGAGATTGCATGGCTGTTGCAGAGGTTGTCCAGCTCAAATCTTTAATCAGATCTAATCCTCAAATCAAATGGGGAGAGAGGACGGTTTTCTGAGCTGGTATGGTTGAAAGCCTGCATCCTGCTGCGGGTGCCTCCAAGAAGCGACACTTTCAGGAAATGAGCTTTAATTCATGGAGGGTCAATGAATAGAAATGAAGTCGCATCCCACTGGGTGACATATTGAGCACTGAGACCAATTTCATTTGAGAGATTAATTTTCCTCCCAAGGTTGTCATGAAATACCTAATTGTGTTAGAGTCTACTGTAAGTGCCTCTCATTAAATGACACTGTCAATGAAAAGAGAAGCCAATGCCTTTTTGACAGAGACTCGAGACGGGGAGAGCAACTTTTGGGAGCTCGGATGAAGTATTTGAACACTGTGGAATGAAACTGGAGAGGAGTGGATGTTGTTTGTCTGGCAGAAAACCAAAACCTCAACTTTAGCAACCAAAAGAAGCAGCATTTTGAGTATTCATTTGAAGCTTTGGAAAAACAGCAATCAAAATGTGAGTCCAGAAAAAGAGTTAGTTCCTCTTAAAGATACAGTTAGCATCGTACAGCAGATCTAGAGGATTTTTCCTAATGTTGGGGGGAAAAAGTGGATTTGGAGCTTGAATATGAGCAAGTTTCCAAGCATTTCTAAATACAAAAGAGCATGTCCAAAAAAACACATACTAGCTTACTGCCTCCAACAGCAACCAAACGTAGCATTACTCTAGGTCCAAAAAGCACCAGTTTGTAAGAAGTTACTTGAATAAAGAAATATGCACTGAATTTTCTCACCAAACAGAAATAGGTTTGGATTTCAGGATGTTACTCCTAGCCTAGCCAAGCGAGGCACCACAGATAAGGTCATATATCTAGACTTTAAAGATCCACTCCGATTAAAATCATGTTTTTCTTGTTGTCTGACATATCATCAGAAGAGTAACATTAATATTTCAGAGTATTTCTGCATTCAAATTGCTGTGAATCTCTGGCAGACCCAAACGGCAGGTTCAGATATAGTGAGATTTCCTATGTAGCAAATTCAAGCTCCGCCCCCCTGGAGTCCCGCTATGCAGGCCAGACTCGGAAATGCAGAGAGGACGATTGTGGACCAAGCGCGATGTTAGTCTGTCAGTCTGCAGTCTGCAAGAGCAGTGTACACAGCAGCACTGTCTCCGCCTACGACTCAGAGGTGAACTGCTAATGAGCTACTGAAGTTCTGCAGAAGAAAAAAGCTTGTAAATGACACAGATAATGTGATTTTGGCTAAAAACTTCGTAATCACAATTTAAAGACAACTGAAAACACTTTAGATATTTAAAAAAAAATAATGATTGGAGTGGGTCTTTAAGGTCCAAACATACTGTATTCTTCGGACGATAAGGCGCACTTTAAATACTTAAATTTTCTCAAAAATTGACAGCCTAATAATCCAGTACGCCTTATGTATGATTACTTATCGTGCTTACTGACCAATTTTATGTGGTACGATGCGTTCAAAAATCTGTTGAAATGTGTAAGTACAACTTTGGTAGCTCAGCTCAATGGATATTCGGAGCATTACGGTACATCAGGCTGTGTCACTACCTGTTCGACCCCATAACAGGACCCCCAAGCTGACAACAAGACTGCCTGACTGTACTGTGTAAACAAGAAGTGCATTCATATGTAAGGCAGCCCAGGCCTGGAGTACAGGCTACAAACAATAAACCAATCAATGCTTAATGCGCCTTATGTGTGAACAAAGACATGTTAATTCACAGTGCGCCGTACAATCCAATGCGCCCCATCGCCCGAAAAATACGGTACTTGAGCTGCAAGCTTGACACACACACAACGGTGTATTTTATTTTCACATTGATTCTGGTGATAATACTACCCTTTTACTTCCTGTGAAGTTTACTTGTCTTTCAGCACCACTTTACAGAGCCTGTGTAGTCCATAAGAGTTTCTCCATTTCTAAACAAGTCAAAAAAGGTCAGCTAAAGACTGTTTTCAACCCACTCTTTACCTAACATTAGATTAAATAGCTACCCAGCCAAAATACTGTCAAACCAGAGAGCCATATGTTGACCTTGGTTTAAAGATATAAATGTAAACGATTCAGCAAAAGCTAAAAGCCGTCCGAGTTATCACACTTAAATGTTAATGTGTGAAAGTTTGATCAGCTGCTGACAGAAATGAGGGGAGTGAAGCTCAGCGAAAATTCGGCTGCTGATTCGAGCTAAAGACTAAAGATATTTGCCCTTAACTCACAAACATAAACACAGTCATATCCTCCCAGAGTTACAGTCGTACGGCTGTCTGTGATTTAACACTTTTGTTCAAGGTTCTGCCGGCTCTGCAGGATGTGAAGCGGCCCACCTGAGACCGTTTGCGGTGACAGTTTGAAGAAAAAAAGCTTTAGCCCCGTGTTTAAGGGTCAGAGTATCTGTGTGTGTGAAAAGACAATTACCTTTATGACATGTTAGTGCAATAAAACCGGTGTTTTATGACTTTGGCGCCCAGCTTTAGGCTGCATTTACTTATTGGCACAAAAAAAAAAGTTTAAGGTTAAGTCCAAGTCTCTCGCACTTGAATGTAGATTATGACACAAGCAGCTGATGAACAGCTGGAGAGATAGCGTTGTTCTGTCTCAAGAACTAATGCAGTACTCTGCCAACCTTTACTTTCTGAGCCTCAGAGGGAAAACGAGCGAAATAATTCCTCTATATAGCCTTTGTACTGTTGCAGAGTGGGTAATAGGAGTATTTAAAGCAACTTTTGCTGTTTCCAAACTAGATTTAGAGACAAAAAAGGAGGTAGTTGCAGCCACAGTATGAAAAAAAACCTAATTATATGTCCTGAAACTTTCCAAACTTGTTTCTTTATAACTGATATTTGTACAAAAAGGCCCCGGAAAAGAACTTTTGGTCTACAACAGCATTTCTTTAAAGGATCAAACTGTGAAGAAAAAAAACAGACCTGGGCTTTTTGTTCATCGGTTATGTCCGTGTCACAGCAGCGCCTTGTCCTTCCTGCTCTCACTTCTAAGACTCAGGAGGGGGTATTAGGAGGACATTTTTAGACACGAGCAGTCCTTGTGTTCTGCCACTGTCAGCACTGGTGGCACCAGCACAGAGTTACATAACATAAGACGTGGGGTATTCGGTATCTGGGAAAGAAGAAACTCAGCAGCGCAGCTGGAGCACTCGTCTTATAAGCGATCCACTATCGATATTCAGCGCATCAATACAACCTTTTGAAATGCCTCTTAATACAGATTGATGCTGCTCAGGGACCTAAAGCTGGACCTTTTAGCTAGTCGAGTGGATGAAGAAACCATGTGTGAAAAGTACAAGCTGAAATACCTGATTTAAGATACGCTGAGGTGCAATTGTGGGGTTACACTCATCGCAAACATACACTTTTAGTAAAGATTCCTCCCCCTCTTTTCAAATGAGACCACATGAGTTGGCAACAGAAGATATATTGCGGTTTTGACCGAACTATCAGCAGAATATCAATCGCCAGAAAGGTCCAATAAGTACTGAGAGGTACTGAGACAGGGTAGGAGAGAACAGGGTGAAAAGGGCAGCCGTACCCGATTTGCCAGCACCAGTCACAGAGACAGGTATTGGGATACAGCTGGGCAGGGCTCTCTGCCCGGCCAGTGCAAGAAAAGGGGGATAGATTTAGAGTCTGGATCAGAGACAGGAATCAGTTCTTAGTGATCATGGATAGTCTCCAGGCAATCTAACCTTAAACAAAACATCCACCCCTTCTCCCCGACGTTGGTTTCATCCTAAAGTTGCTGCGTAAGACTGATTCGGACCAGCAGGCAACAAATAGACAGCTAGCAGTGTGTCCCACTGTGTGGTTCAAGTGTTTAGTACAGCCTCAAACTTATTTTTAAAAACACATACGTTTATGAGTTTAATACACCACTGCAACTACCTCTGATTCAAGCATTTTAACCCAGTTCTCAGCTAACCCTAGTTAGGACATGTTACAGCTTAAGACTTCTGCAGGGATAAGTCTGTTAATGTCTGTCTCCATTTAGCTCCCATTAACATTTGCCACCCATGGTTTGTAGGAATCAGAAACTAAAAAATTCACTCACCAGCTTTGCTATTGTTGCCTGGATTGCAGGACAGATCCAATATTAAAGCATCCTCTCTGTTGGTAAGTCATGCAAATGGAAACCCATATTTTTGCCACATTTTCAACAGGTAGAGGTAAAACATGCCAGGGCCTTTACAGGGATTGATTTGATTTGATATGCTGTGTGTGATCAGGCAAAGGTAATACACGGCTTGGCAATAACTATGAATAAATGCTGGAATGGGACAAGAGGTGCAACAAACTGGGGAAGAGACGGTGAGACACAGAAGGTAAAATACAAGAGGTAATGAGGGTGATTGGAAACAGGTGGGCAGACACAATCAGGCTGTAGGTGTGACAAGACAAGATGGGGGCAGGGCAGACCGGACAGGAACAAACCTAGAGGACAGAAACAAGGGTTAGTGAGGAAATGCACGACATGAAACAAAACATGAAAGTGCAGAAATAAAGGAAACATAACCAACAAGAATGTACTGAAAAATAAAAGAGAAACTTGACCAACATGACACCGCCCACTATGAATAAGAGTCATTTACTGTTACTATGGAGCTCTGACCAATCACAGTCAAGTATGTAACACAGTAAGTTTAAAAGCCGGGTGGTATTACCTGAGAGAGTGAGAGAGTGAATGGCAGGGTTTCATGCAAAGCTACAGGCTGAGTGCCATAATTAATCTCAGCAGGCCGACACACAAACTTGGTGTTGAACAAAAAGTTCAATCATGAGCAGAACATTACGATAAAAACGTCTAATCAACAAAAAGTAATTATATCAAGTTGGCTTTGCCAGCATGACTAGTTCCTGAGTATAACTTAATCCAGAGGGCCTGTTGCTGCCTCAAGTGTGTCTATATATGACCATATATAACTTAATATAATGTGCATGTATTCGGTGACCTGGTGTCAGCTAAATTATCAAGATGAAAACTACTTCTTCATCAAGCTGTGTTCAGAGAAAAAAAGATAGAATTGTACGAGTTGTATTTTATATTAGCACTCATGGAGCTCCACTCATTCAGTCAGATAACTTGTTTGGAAAAGTTATACACAATGGAAAGCACATACCAGCAGAGAATAAAACTCTCGGCTCAATCTATTACTCCAATAAATCAAAATACCTGGTGAAATCTGCCACTTCAATACTTTTGACAAAGTATTCTTCTTTTTTATCCTGTGTTCAGATGAGTAGTGACAATGAAAGTTCAGCTTGTTCCCGGTTTCGTGCGTCTTAGGTATGTTGACAATGTATACAGTGTCTTACAGCTCTGAATGTAAGGTGGAGGTTGCAGGTCTTTATACGTCTCTCAAGTCTAACTCCTAGTTCGTCACAATAGGGTTGTCCTTGACCTGACATCGAGCACGCTTCTTCTGCTGCTGGCTCAACTGCCACTCTGACAAAAGAAATGAAACTCTCGAGCGTGGCTCCATACAGAGAGTTACATTTTCCACAAAGGCCTTATCTTTTCCTTTGAGCAGGCAGCGCTATTCTCATAGAGCGACAGCCGCCTGCTGCCTGACAATGAAAGTTACTTTATTTATTTATTTGCTTGTCAGCTTGTTTGGTTGTTCAGAAAGTTTGTCTGCTATAGTTATCAACCTTTTGAAAAAAAGTTGCATTTACAGTCCTGAAAAAGTAATTGTGAGCATTAAATTTGAACTAATTACAGCACAGCGTGAAAGTAAGACAGCTGGGACATGGCTGCACATCAGACCTGTTTTCCAAATGTAA